TCCCAAACCTCGGGTATTTGCCAGTTTCCGGATGTGTTAAAGTTGTGGTAATGGTACGCAAAACATATCGCTCCTCTCAAAGGACCCATGGAGAGATGTTGCCCGGGCCCCATTGCCTTTGAGGTATCGTGTCCCTTAGCAGTTTCTTACCTCCCCCCTCATCTTATGTAGGGCCCAACACTTGTTGGTGTATTCCTTGTTGTGTCCCCATCTGGCTGTTCCCCCCAGAGTCCTTCCTGTCTCTACTGTAAATACTTCCAAAATTCGTGTTGAGCCCTCACATACCTCTTGACGTTTCTGTGAGTTCTCCACCTTTTTTCCCCCAGCCTTATACTGGTCCTTTCTGTTTCTTCCCCTAATGTGGCTATACGCCACATAGGAGGGGAATACTGTCGCGGGCCCCCCTCCTTTTTCGCAACTCGTTTTTTGGCTCTTCTACTAAACTCCTTGTTTTCCTGGGGCCTATGCCCCGACCTTTTTCCCTTCTCTGTTGCACTTATTTTTGCCCCCTACACCCCGGGGAAAAACCCAAAGGGCTCGTTTTGGCTTCCATTATTTTTTGTTTTTCCCTTGGGGAAAAAAACTTTCCTCTGCCTCCTTCACTTTGTTTCCACATAAATTTCCTCATTCCCTTTACTGATTTTCCTACCATTTCTCTTCCCTGAACCCCCTGCGGGGAAATTTCTCATACCCCGTTATCCCCCCCTTTTTTAGTTTGGCCCGTCCCCTTCATTCCTGTTTCCCCTTTTCCACTTGTAACCTACTTTAGCAAAACTCAGAACCCCAAAACGTACTCCAAGGGGGCCCCCGAAGTGATGTCCCCCGATGTCTGAACTGCTCAGGGTGAACCAAAATCCCTTTGCTGGGTCTCCTCCCCCCTTCTTGGTTGTGTCCCTGACATGTTGATGCATGGGTTTTTAAGTACCACATCCAACACTTGGGTCTCCATGTTCGGGACCCCCCTGTGGCTCCAGGGGTTTTTCCCCTCATTTCCCGTGGTTGAAATCGCCCATTACCGTAACTTTGCTCTGCTCGATGAGTCTTCTTTCCACCCACCAGTGTGTCCACCATCACCCTGTTTTTTCTTCGTATTCCCCCTTGGCCTCCTGCGTTTTTTGTGGTGGGTTATACATCACCCCAAAGACTACTTTTTGTTCTCCGGACTGAATTGTACCTACAATGTAGTCTCTTTTCTCCAATCATGTCCATGCCTTCCATTTCCCTCAAATCCCCATTGGTGTTTTATGAGCAGTGCAACCCCTCCTCCCCCTCTACTCCTTCTATCTTTCCTCAGGATCTGATATCCTGTTGGGAAGATTGTGTCTGTTATTGTCTCAGCGAGTTTGTTTCTGTGACTGCTATGATGTCTGGGGATTTTTCACTGATTCTTTCATTCCACTCCTCATGTTTATTCGTTATTCCATCCGCGTTTGTGTACCAAACCTTTAGTTTCTTTTCTATCATTGTGGTCATGCAAGTATATTGGGGTTGGGGGAGCGAGAGCCTTGGTGGGGGCCTATATGGGGCTGTGGTGTAGGTGGGGTATGTTTGATGGGGTGGGGTCAGAATGCCCATAAGGGACAGCTGTTGGGGTGAGGTTTGTGATATGGGGGTTGGTGGCAGAGGGAACAGTGAGTGGGTTGTAGTATAGGTTGCTCAGTTGCGTTGGGAATGTTGTGTGTGTGTGTGTGTGTGTGTTGTGTGTGTGCGTGTGTGTGTGTGTGCATGTGTGTGCACGTGTGTGTGTTTCATATAAATTTGGGTATACTGATTTAAAAAACTGTCTGCTTTATTTGTCTCTTTAACCTGTTGGCTGTCGTAACCCCAAATCCTGAGGTGTCTCCTGGTGTCGCAAAATTTCCAAAAAAAAATAATTTTTTTTTTTTATGAAATGATATAGAATCTTTTCCCGATTGTAATGACACCAAAAAAAATGAAATTTGATAGAAAACTGACGGAATTATGCTCTCGCGAAGTTAGCGACCTTAACAATATTTATGAATCGGCGATTTCACCCACTTTGAGCCGTATTTTCGGCTAATTCCATTGTTCCAGTCTACCAAACTCATAGCTATTTCTTTAGAACTCCATTTTTTCTATCGGTTGAGTACAAGAAACTTCCCATTTACCGAATTCAACTACCCAAAAACATGGTCAGAAATTTGCAATTTGGCCAATTTCACAAACATTAAAAAATATGACAATTTCAAAATAGGGTCCAGAATGAACAATGCAGACATTCCTGGCTCTAAAATAACATTTTCTTTGTTCATCAGTCATGTCTCCAAGCCCCTCTGATATTACTCTTGCTTTCTACTTTGAATTTTTATTCGAACAAAAAATAGAAGAGTTACTGTTATGCAGACTACTGCAATATTATAATAATTGTATAAATAATGTCAACCCATTCATGACTGCATATTAAAATGGCTAGTTGGACATTTATTGGAAAATGACATCATTTGTTTACTTTTGAACATCGGCAAAAATCAAACATTTTCCCTACTTTGAGCTCCATTTCCAGGTTCTTTTTATAGTAAAACCAATGAAAATCACCTCTATTTCTATAATATGTTTTCCATTCTATCAAGTGAGACCAAGAAAACAAGAATACAACCGTAAATACTACACAAAAATAGACCACAAAGTCGGCATTTTAATTAAAAAAAATGGTCGGAGTTTTTTTTTTCTCATTATGCACTGCGTGCTGCAGGATTTTTTTTTATATGGTGCACACTGACCACACAGACCCATTCTCTCACATGTGGACCTACCAGCTTTCTCCCACTTGATTTGAAGCCGCTAGAATTTATGAGTATATTTACGTCAATCATGGTGGCTTGTACGACGTATATGTACAACCGAAACAGTCAAAGGGTTAAGGAAGAATGGGAGGGATGCCACAGTGCTGGTGAAGGGCTTTTCATCCAAGGAACTGGAGCTAACTTCCCCTCTCTTAAACCAGACCCAATTACCTCCTATTTCCCTGCAACAGTAAATGACCCTTACGGGCTTATCACTTCCCTATGAGTATAACATTGATAATTAAACGGAGATAATTTTCCACATACAAAGAAACTTGTGATTTTTAAGTCTGACTTGGACCATTAACTCCTGTGTTTAAGTCTGACTTGGACCATTAACTCCTCTGTTTAAGTCTGACTTGGACTGTTGATGACTCTGTTGAAGTCTGACTTGGACCGTTAACTCTTCTGTTTAAGTCTGACTTAGACCATTAACTCCTGTGGCATCATTACCGCTCTAACACACTTTATCTTCCCTCCTTCCTGACAGCCATATCTTTGACACAGACTCCCGCATTGACTATTTCACAGCAACAGATTTATTACACAAAGTTTGATTATAGAGCAGAAACCCTAGTATTTGCAGTTTCACTTATCGACTATTTACCACGGCCTGAAAATAACCCTTAATTATGCTCGGTGACGCCAAAGCACAACAGTAGAAATGCTGGTAGGTCTTCAATTCCTAAGAAAAGCTGTGAAGTGCTTCCCATCAGTGAAAAAGTGATAATTCTCCATTTATTGTGCATAGTTTACCAATTAAACTTCATAATAGTTATGTAAAGGAAAATTGACATATAGGGTTTGCTTTTGTCCGTGGTTTCAGGTACCCATGGTAGATCTTGGAAGATATCCATGGGGGATACCTTCCAAGACCCACCATGGATGCCTGAAACATTGGATACTATCAATCCCCCTATATAAGCCACTTTTCATTTACATACATACCTGTGATGAAGTTTAATTAATAAATTATTCAAATTAAGTCCAGAATTATCATTTTTTTCACTGATGGGAAGCACTTCAAGGCTTCTCTTAGACTTTGAAAAACTGCCACCATCGCTACTTTTGCACTTTGGTGCCATTATTAACCCGTAAACGGTCCAAACGTATATATACGTTTTTTCAACATTTAAAAGTATGTAAAAAAAGTAGATCTTCTTTTTGTTTTTTTTACATTTGAAAATGTGTAAAAAAACTTGGATCTACTTTTTTTTTTGTTACATTTGAAAATATGTAAAAAAACGTAGATCTACTTTTGTCGCACTACACATGTGAACGTAGATCTGCTTGGACCGTTTACGGGTTAAGCAAAATAAAGAGTTATTTATGGGCCACAGTAAACCATTGTTAATTGAAACAGTGGATACTGATTCCATGGATATGGAGGTTCTACTGCACTTCCTGAACCCATGGAAACGGGTTCTACTATACAGTGGACCCCCGCATAACGATTACCTCCAAATGCGACCAATTATGTAAGTGTATTTATGTAAGTGCGTTTGTACGTGTATGTTTGGGGGTCTGAAAGGAATAATCTACTTCACAATATTCCTTATGGGAATAAATTCGGTCAGTACTGGCACCTGAACATACTTCTGGAGTGAAAAAATATCGTTAACCGGGGGTCCACTGTACTTCCTTTAGCGCTTCACACCGCCCTTACCAACTCCACCTCTGTTGCACTCTACACCCTCGCTAGTCTCTGATCAAGCATATTACACATTTAACACACCTACCCTGCAGTGCTGTATGATTCTCGTGGGTTTAGTGCTTAGTTATGATTCTAATATTAATGGACTATTAACTAGTCGCACTGCTAGTCAGTAGTCCAAGTGGGATCGACTCGTAGGCGTAAGTTTCTTAATCCTATGTGTGGGTGATCTGTGTATTGTTGCAATCACGGTATTGTGACTTTTTATTCTCTAATACTAAATAAAATATTGTGCTTTATTTATTAGACACATTATTTATTCACATTAAGAAATTCCTTATTTTTACTTCTAATATGTAAATAGAAAGGTAGGAGCAAGGATCTGGTAACCCTTCTTCTGTATACATAACTAAAGTTAACCCTTAAACTGTCCAAATGTAGATCTACGTCCACGTGCGGAGGGCTCCGAACGTAGATGTACGTTTTTATTTACATGCTTTCAAATGGAGAAAAATCAAGGTCGGAGCGCTATGCACGTGAATGTAGATCAACGTTTGGACAGTTTAAGGTTTAAAAAAAGAAATTTTTGTTTTTCGTTTAGGGTGACCCTGCTTGGGTGGGATATGACAATGACAAGTGAAGCACGTTACATGTTTGTACAGAGGAGTGGAACAATTTAGTGAACGTGCCAAAGGCCCTTTATATCCAGAACATTGCAGGCAAACTTAAGACTAACTTATCATTGGTTTGTTAGAAGAAGAAATAGAATGGTACTAAATTGTTAATTTTCACTTGAACCAGATTGGACTCGGCTGCTGATCTGATGTCTCTTCATGTTGGTGACAGAATACTTGAAGTTAATGGGCGACCTGTTGAAGATCATTGTATTGATGATATTGAAAACCTTATTACTTCTTCCCAGGATGTATTACAGGTTAGTTTATGCTTTTATTTATTGTTTATTGTTAGTTATAACCAGGTCTCCTGGTTGTGGACTGGGCCTTCTAATTGTGGACTGGGCCTTCTGGTTGTGACCTGGGCCTTCTGGTTGTGGACTGGGCCTTCTAATTGTGGACTGGGCCTTCTGGTTGTGGACTGGGTCTTCTGGTTGTGACCTGGGCCTTCTGGTTGTGAACTGGGCCTTCTGGTTGTGAACTGGGCCTTCTGGTTGTGACCTGGGCCTTCTGGTTGTGGACTGGGCCTTCTGGTTGTGAACTGGGCCTTCTGGTTGTGGACTGGGCCTTCTGGTTGTGGACTGGGCCTTCTGGTTGTGGACTGGGCCTTCTGATTGTGGACTGGCCCTTCTGGTTGTGGACTGGGCCTTCTGGTTGTGAACTGGGTCTTCTGGTTGTGAACTGGGCCTTCTGGTTGTGGACTGAGCCTTCTGATTGTGGACTGGGCCTCCTGGTCATGGACTGGGCCTCAGGTATTGACCCCTAGAATTCCTTTCAGATATACTTGTCCAGGTATGGACCAGGCTGCAGGGGGCATTGACCCCTGGGACAGATAGACTCCAGGTAGGTACTTATTGAGGCCCTCCCTGTATTACCAGGTTTCTAGCCTGTATTACCAGGTTACTAGCCTGTATTATCAGGTTACTAGTCTGTATTACCAGGCTACCAGTCTGTATTACCAGGCTACCAGTCTGTATTACCAGGTTACCAGTCTGTATTACCAGCTACCAGTCTGTATTACCAGCTACCAGTCTGTATTACCAACTACCAGTCTGTATTACCAGCTACCAGTCTGTATTACCAGGCTATCAGTACAAAAAGTGCCAAAAAGAAAGCCACCAGCATGTTGTATGCATATTTCTGGCAAACTATAATCCTTAGAGACTATTTAAAGACTACTTTTAGGCTATGTAAGACTACTTAAGAACTAGTAGTTTTAAAATGTGCCAAAAAAGATAATTAAACTTACAATAGTAATGTTATGAAAGTGTATATTTATACATCAAAGTGATTCAGTTATATTTCCAATTTTACTTCTAAGTGATTCGGTTATTTTTGTACTTCTAAGTGATTCGGTTATTTTTGTACTTCTAAGTGATTCAGTGATCTTTTCAATTTCAGTTAACCATTGAACACGACCCTGAACAAGTGTCAACCAGACGGCAGAGCTTTCCGTTCGTGTCTCCGTGTCGGAACATCACGTCCATGCACGAACAGCAGCAAAAGGAAGGTCAGTGTATCCTGAACTGAATAGTTCATGAAGAGGTCTTCATGGTAAGTACTATTCAGTTTCACAGTACTGTTCATAGTCATAGTAAGTACAATTTAATTTTGGAAACACTTTTTCAATCACAGTTAAAAAACATCACTATGTAGAATAGTTTTATATATGAGCTTATTGTACCTCTCAGTTTTTTTTTTTTTTTAAACAGGTTTGAGAGAGCGGGTTTTTAAGCGAAGAGACGAAGGCTATGTTTCTGGCACTCAGCGTAGTCGTCAGTTGAGACGACGAGGCTGTAAGGAGAGAGCGTCCTCGCTTCCAAAGTTATTAGACAGGTAAATAAATTATTAGAGAGGTGAATAAGTTATTGGATAGGTAAATTGAAAGTACCTTAGTTATTAGACAGGTAAATAAGATGCAAATTGAAAGTACCTGAGTTATTAGTGAGGTAAATGGAATGTAAATTGAAGCATTTTCTGACATTTCTCATTATTTAGCTAAAATGCATAAATTATCACACTTTTAATTGAAACTACTGCTGTTATTGCAATTTACGGGAAAAGTGAGTGAAATCACATTATTTTTCAAGTAGCATATATGCATATCTTTGCTAAAAATTGAGGTTTGTCAGAAAATGCATGAAACTGCAGATTATTAAAAAAAAAAAAATTGTGACAGTTTTGGGAAATAATTTAATAACTTTTTTGTTTTATTAACACACCGGCTGTTTCCCACCAAGACAGGGTGACCTGTAAAAGAAGAAACGCTTTCATCATCACTCACTCCGTCAAAGATTTTCTTCTTATTTTTAGTATTTTATAAAGATGTTACCAGCCCCTTGCTGCCAGTATTTAGTATTTTGTAAAGATGTTACTAGCACCTTACTGCCAGTATTTAGTATTTTATAAAGATGTTACTAGCACCTCACTGCCAGTATTTAGTATTTTATGAAGATGTTACTAGCACCTTACTGCCAGTATTTAGTATTTTATGAAGATGTTACTAGCACCTCACTGCCAGTATTTAGTATTTTATAAAGATGTTACTAGCACCTTGCTGCCAGTATTTTTAACCCAATGACAACCTGGAACATTAAAAAAAGGTGGTGTATATGTGAGTTTCCTGTGCTAATAGCCTTTAGGTCATCTTTCCTTGGTGGGAGACAGCCGATGTTTTTATAAACAAGTTAGTGGGATTTTTCTGGTTAATGGTTTTCATCTCTCTCTAGTGACTGTTCCCGTGAGTGTGGCTACTATGACCTCAGTAGAACTAAGTCATTCCGTGTGGAGCCAAAGAATCATCGAATCTTTCGTGCCTCTGATCTTACTCAGGGAGAACTTCTTGGTAAAGGCTTCTTTGGACAGGTAAGGCTCCAGTGGTACCAGTAAGGCTCCAGTGGTACCAGTAAGTTTAGGTACACATTAATACAGTTACACAAATTATCATACTTAGTAACATATGCAGAACAACCACTGTGAAAAATAGTGGAATTCCAAGTGCTTTCATGATTTCTCACATTATCAATGTGAGAAATCATGAAAGCACACAGAAAAACAGATGGTATCAATGTGATATCACCTGTTTACTGTGATTGTATTGCAGTAGTAACGTGTGTAAATTACCCAACTGGATAACCCAAAAATGTCAGTAACTTATTTCCATTGGGGTACAGGTATACATGTCAGTAATATGTATGCTTTATGTATGCCACTATACACCATGATAGTGTCACGTGACTACACTTGAATGGCCAGCCTTGGCCGTCGGCCCAGGAAGCAATCCTAAATTAGATATACAGTATTTGTTTTTAGTTAACACATTGGCTGTTTCCCACCAAGGTGGGAAAGTTAAATTTATCCTGACAATATACAGTGGACCCCTGCTTTACGATCACCTCCCAATGTGACCAATTATGTAAGTGTATTTATGTAAGTGCGTTTGTACGTGTATGTTTGGGGGTCTGAAATGGACTAATCTAATTTACAATATTCCTTATGGGAACAAATTCGGTCAGTACTGGCACCTGAACATACTTCTGGAATGAAAAAATATCGTAAACCGGGGGTCCACTGTAGTACCTAGGTCGGGGAACTCAGGTAAATTACCCCAAATAGGGTAAAAATGAGAATCTCGGGGGTAATGAAGATAGGTAGGTATTATGTTTGTCAGGAAAAAGGACAAGTGTTTCCTGACGTGAGTTTTATTCATATGATGACCCACGGCTAGAGCTTTTGGTCATCTGACCAAAACCTTCCACTGGCTTACCCTTCCACCTTTTTAAAATTGCCAAAAACCATCATAAGAGCAAGGCAAGCGCCAAAAATAATAAACATGAATTTACCGTATTTTATGGCATCAAAGCAGCGCTCTAGGACCCTAGTGGGCTTAGTGCTTCTTTTTTATTATAATAATAATTACAGCATCAAAGATGGCATTTTTTCCCAAAATAAGTCTTGAAAATTTGTCAACTATCTTGAAGACCTAAATACCACTTACAGTGGACCCTCAGCTAACGATGGCATCACCTAACGTTAAATCCAGCTAACGATACATTTTAACACAAACATTTTGCCTTGGCCAAAGCTAAAAAACTCGCCTAACGATATTCGTTCTCAGGTACCAATTAATATCGTTACATGAGGGTCCACTGTATACATATATGTATATATATATATACAGTAGGGCCCCACTTATACGGCTGGTTAGGTTCCAGGCTACTGCCGTAAAGCGGAAACAGCCGTAAAGTGGAACACCCTTTTTTTCCACTTACAAATGCATACAAACACTAGATAACAAGTTTACACTAACATATATTAAGTTAGCAATAGAACCAGGCATCAAAAAAACAATAAAAAAGTACAATACACACATAGTGCACTCATTACTTACCTTAAAATATTTATAGTCTTAATCTAGGGTGAGACAAGTAGTATTTATTGTAAGAAATCAAGTGTGGTATGTATGGTAGTCAGCCAGGCTACCATACCAGGCCACCCCACCCACACATACTATTTTTTGATATTTAAGCATCCCAGAGTGATAAAATGTATATACAGTTCACTCATTACTTACCTTAAAATATTTGTAGTCTTAATGTAGGGTCAGGAGTAAGTAAATGAGATAAAACGAATAAATGAGAGAGAGAAAGAATGAGTACATGAGAGAGGACAGGCGCAGAGTTATGTAAACAAACCAGGCGAACGTAAGTTTTGTAAACAAACAAAGTGTACACGTCTGGTTTGTGTACAAGTTACATTGTGTACAGGTTGTCTCTACATTGATACGGTAGAATAAATAAAGAAGAACACTCCCATTCTCATGTAACATCATTTTGAGAAGAAATGATGCTCTGAGTGAAGGCAATGGAAATAAGTCACTCTTACTTTTTTGGGTTATCCTAGGTTCTCTACACATATGTTGTTATGTATGATAATCTATGTAACTGTATTTGTGTATACCTGAAAAAACTTACTTACATACATACGAAAGGAATAATTTTCTACAGTTACCCCCAGTAACACATTTTCTCTTATGTTAGATTAGAGAAAATGTTATTCTTGGTGTCACTTGTACAAGTTATCTGGCTACCACATCTCATATTTATGTTTATTTATTCTATTGTGGGGTGTATTTATCATCTTTTTATGTTATGTATCGTGTTTATTATATAATTTTGAAAAAATATCATAGATGGATTAATGAAAATGTGTATTTAACGTAATATACGACATTTAAATGAGACTCGATGATTATTATTATCATTACTAATATGACGTCTGGAGACATAAGACACTCTTACTGATTTTAATGTGTACCTGCATGCCAGCACAGTATGTAAGTTTATTTAAGCACAGGTATACATAAGTATAATTATCAGAGTACATATAAAATATGAAATAACTTTTAAAAACATTTGAAATTTTGGAGTTTCCAGACAAAATGGAGAGACTTAGTGCTTACTGAGCTTACGAAGAATGTAAACAAACAGGGTGGGGCGCGGTGACCGTATTAGAAAGTCAGGTGGGGGGAGCCGTATAGCGAGTTTTGGTCATAATTTGAAATGACCGTATTAGCGGAACGCCGTAAAGTGAAACGCTGTAAAGCGGGGCCCTGCTGTAAAATTATATATATATATAATATATATATATATATATATATATATATATAATATATATATATATATATATATATATATATATATATATATATATAACACATACTTGGGACCTGACGATCTGTTGGAGTGTGAGCAGGGTAATATTTAGTGAAGGGATTCAGGGAAACCGGTTATTTTCATATAGTCGGACTTGAGTCCTGGAAATTGGGAAGTACAATGCCTGCACTTTAAAGGAGGGGTTTGGGATATTGGCAGTTTGGAGGGATATGTTGTGTATCTTTATATGTATATGCTTCTAGACTGTTGTATTCTGAGCACCTCTGCAAAAACAGTGATAATGTGCGAGTGTGGTGAAAGTGTTGAATGATGATGAAAGTATTTTCTTTTGGGGATTTTCTTTCTTTTTTGGGTCACCCTGCCTCGGTGGGAGACGGCTGACTTGTTGAAAAAAAAAAAAAAATATATATATATATATATATATATATATATATATATTATTATATTTATATATATTTTCTTTTTTAAATTTAGCCAGCCAGAATTGGGGAAGTGTCCTCAACATTGGAGTGTCTTGTTTGGCATAAAATACAATAACCAAAGAGCACTGAATTAGGAAAACTAAAAAAAGCGCCTTATTAACCATTTCACTGTCGAGATCCCTGCTCACAAACTTGCTCTCAACGTCGAAGAATTAAAAAAAAAATAGTTTTTCTTATGAAATGATAGAGAATCTTTTCCTGATGGTAATGGAACCAAAAGTACAAAATTTGATGGAAAACTTACAGAATTACACTATCGCAAAGTTATGTCTCGGCGATAATTGCACATTGGCAATTTTGCACACTTTGAGCCCTATTTTCGGGCAATTCCATTGCTCCAGTCAACCAAACTCATAGCTATTTTGCTAGAACTTCTTTTGTTCTGTCAATTGAGAACAACAAACTGCCCATTTACCTATTAAAGTGATCAGAAATTGTTAATTTGGCCAATTTCATACAAAATTCAAGGAAGGCCAGTTTCAAACTAGGGTCCAGAATTAACAATGTAAACATTCCTAGCACTAAAATAACATTTTCTCCAATCATTAGTCACATCTCCAGCCCCTCTTATATTACACTTGCTTTCCATTTTGAATTTTTATTCACATAAAAAAATAGAAGATTTACTGTTATGCAGACTACTACATTATTGTAAAAATGGTATAAATAATATCATCACATTTGTGAAAGCATATTAGAGCCACCAGTTGACATGTATTGGACGTGTGACGTGATTTGTTTACTCTTGAACATTGGCAAAAATCAAACGTTTCCGTTGCTTTGAGCTCAATTTCAAGCTACTTTTTAGTTTGTAAACCATTCAAAATCATCTCTTTTTGTAATATATCTTCCTCTCTATCAAATAAGACCAAGAAAATGAGAATATAACCATAAATGCCATATGAAAGTACACTGCAAAGTTGCTGTTTTTTCTCATTATACACTGTGTGCTGCAGGATTTTTTTTATACTGTGCACACTGACCACATAGACCCATTCTCTCATATGTAGGCCTACCAGCTTTCTCCCGCACGATTGGAAGAAGCTAGAGTTTTCGCATACTATTACGGGACCAACTGGATTGCAAGCCATAATATTATGGGACTGACGGTGAAAGGGTTAATGAGGTTGCCTCTGCATACCCTGAGGAGCTGGAAGCTAATGTAATTTCCCTAACGCTTTCACAGGTATACAAGATGACGCACTCGGAGACGGGAGAGGTCATGGTGCTGAAGGAACTGTACAGAGTAGATGAACAAGCTCAGAAGAACTTTCTTAAAGAGGTACTTTTAGCATTTTTTTTTTATTGCAGGTTTCCCTATACAGTGGACCCCCGGTTAACGATATTTTTTCATTCCAGAAGTATGTTCAGGTGCCAGTACTGACCGAATTTGTTCCCATAAGGAATATTGTGACGTAGATTAGTCCATTTCAGACCCCCAAACATACACGTACAAACGCACTTATATAAATACACTTACATAATTGGTCGCATTCGGAGGTGATCGTTATGCGGGGGTCCACTGTATATAGTATACAGTGGACCCCCGGTTAACGATATTTTTTCACTCCAGAAGTATGTTCAGTGCCAGTACTAGACCGAATTTGGTTTCCCGTAAGGAATATTGTGAAGTAGATTAGTCCATTTCAGACCCCCAAACATGCATGTACAAACGCACTTACATAAATACACTTACATAATTGGTCGCATTCGGAGGTGATCGTTATGCGGGGGTCCCTGTTTAGTTACATGGACCCCGTATTACGATTTTTTTCACTCCAGAAGTATGTTCAGGTGCCAGTACTGACCGAATTTTTCCCATAAGGAATATTGTGAAGTAGATTAGCCAATTTCAGACCCCCAAACATGCACGTACAAACGCACTTACAGTAAATACACTTACATAATTGGTCGCATTCGGAGGTGATCATTATGCGGGGGTCCACTGTATTTTATGCCTGTTTGCTCTGTGTGAAATATGTGATATAACATTTCTGTCGGTAACTTTGTATCTTGTGATGTACAGGAAGGCCCTGTTTTTATGACTGTTTGGTTCCTGAGCCCTGGCAGTAAGCAAAAATTTCCAGCGAATGGAAAAAAAAGTGTTTTTCAATCTGGAATGCATCTAAAATGTCAGATAACATGTATATACAGTGGTACCTTGAGTTACAAACTTAATTTGTTCCAGAAGGCTGTTCGAGTGCCGATACCGAACGAATTTGTTCCCATAAGGAATAATATAAATTAGATTAGTCCATTTCAGACCCCCAGAAATACACTTACATAATTATTCGAGTTGGGAGGTGTTTGAAACTCGAGGTACCACTGTAATTTGTTTGAACTCGAGTACCACTGTAATTTGTTTGATCAGTCATGTATTGTTTGAAACTCGAGGTACCACTGTACTATCATATTTGAAGTGCTCAATGCAGTTAAGCATAAAAATACAGATATAAAAGTAAGATTAATACAAAGTACACAATACCTTAAAATATGGAACCGGTCTCTCTTCCCTTACACAATTGTTGTGTGAAAACAGCAGAAAAGCAGTAAAAGCACCGAATATAATAAACAATATAATAAACAATATAATAAACAATATAATAAACAATGACTCAGTTAAAAACCATCAAAAACATAGAACACCAAAAATAGGTGATGAATACGTGGGTGCTCTGCTGTACATTTGTTAGGACTATAAGAATGAATGAACACTGAGGTAGGCCTACTGGCCCATACAAGGCAACTCCTTGAAAATAATTGGTATAAAATACCGACTCAATGGAAATGTACACTTAAGCAATGTAATGTGATCCTTTATTGACAACATTTCCCCCACACAGTGGACTTTATCAAGTCACAAACAGATCTGTTTGTGACTTGATCAAGTCCTCTGTGTGTTTTTTTTTTTTTTTTTTTTTTCAATAAACCGGCCGTATTCCACCGAGACAGGGTGGCCCAGAAAGAAAAATGAAAGTTTCTCTTTTTAAATTTAGTAATTTATACATGAGAAGGGGTTACTAGCTCCTTTCCCCCGGCATTTTAGTCGCCTCTTACAACACGCATGGCTTACGAAGGAAGAATTCTGTTCCACTTCCCCATTGAGATAAGAGGAAATAAACAAGAACGAGAACTAGAAAGAAAATAGAAGAAAAACCCAGAGGGGTGTGTATATATACATATGCTTGTACATACACAAATAACCCGCACATAAAAGAGAGAAGCTTACGACGACGTTTCAGTCCGACTCGGTCCAAGTCGGACCGAAACGTCGTCGTAAGCTTCTCTCTTTTATGTGCGGGTTATTTGTGTATCGTTCCAGTCACGGTATTGTGCCTTTTTTGTTATTTATGCTTGTACATGTATGTGTAGTGTGACCTAAGTACAGTGGACCCCTGGTTTACGATATTATTTCATTCCAGAAGTATGTTCAGGTGCCAGTACTGAATGAATTTGTTCCCATAAGGAATATTGTGAATTAGATTAGTCCATTTCAGACCCCCAAACATACACGTACAAACGCACTTACATAAATACACTTACATAATTGGACGCATTGGGAGGTGATCGTAAAGCGGGGGTCCACTGTATAAGTAGAAGTAGGAAGATGTACCTGAAATCTTGCATGTGGGGGAAATGTTGTCAGTAAATGATTACGTTATATTTTTCCAAGGCAGTCCTCAAAACTAACCATTCCCACCCACCTAATTGCCTAACATTTTCTCAAAACTACCCAAGAATTAACTTCAATAACTCGAGTACTGAAGATTAAGATACATGTACATCAGTTGGGTATCTTTATTGATGAAATGTTTCACCTACACAGTAGGTTTCTTCTGTCAAATACAGAGGTAGCAGTAATACAGCCGCCCCTCACTTAGCAACATACGTGCTTGTTTACCAGCGACTCGGACTTACGACCGGCTCTCTGACCAGTATGCACACCTAAGAAATGTACAGCCTCACCTCACTTAGCGCCGTACTCGTTTAACCCTTTCAGGGTCCGTCCCGTAGATCTACGGCTTTGCGTTCAGTTTCCAAACCGTAGATCTACGTCATGAGCTCAGCTCACTCTGATAAACTGTGAGTGGTACACTTGGGCCTAGATATGAGAGAATACATCTATGTGGTATGTGTGCACCACATAAAACAAATCCTGCAGCACACTGTGTGTAATGAGTGAAAAAAACTGAAACCAAGATTTTCGATTAAAACAGCAACTTTGCAGTGTTTTTTTGTATGTTTTTTATAGTTGTATTTGCAATGTCTTGGTCTCATTTGATAGAATGGAAGACATATTACAGAAATAGAGATGATTTTGATTGGTTTTAGCACCGGAAATGGCTTGAAACTGAGCTCAAAGTAGCGGAAATGTTAAATTTTTGTCGATGTTCAAGAGTAAACAAACGACCTCACACGTCTAATACATGCCAGCTGGTGGATCTAATACACATTCACAAATGTGGTGATGATATTTATACAATTATTACAATATTGCATAACAGTAAATCTTCTATTTTTTGGTGTGAATAAAAATTCATTATGTAAATAAAAAATAAAAATGGGATTTATTTGTAAAGCCTCAAAACATAACTAATGAACCGAGGAAATGTTAGTTTAGTGCCAGGAATGCCTACATTGTTTATTCTGGATGCTATTTTGAAATTGGAATATTCTGAACTTTGTGTTAAATTGGCCAAATTACCAATTTCCGATCACTTTATTTTGTAGTTGAAACAGTTGACTTGGCGATTTCTTGTGCTCAATCGATAGAATAGAAGTAATACTTGTAAAATAGCTAAGAATTTGGTCGACTGGAATGATGTAATTGGCCTAAAATGGAAGTCAAAGTCGGCAAAATCGCCGATTCGTAAATATCACTGACCCATCAAAATTCGCGAGAGCATAATTTCATCAATTTTCCATCAAATTTCGTACTTTTTGTTTTATTACCTTCACAAAAAGATTCTCTACCATTTCATAAGAAAAAATAACAGATTTTTTTTTTGGAAAATTCTTGGACACTGGGGCACCACTTCAGATTTGGGCCTTGGACCCTGAAAGGGTTAACAACCGCTCGGACTTATGACCAGCTCTCTGACCAGCGTACATACCAAAGTACATGTAATGTACAGCCTCTCATTCTTAGTACGTATGTGTATTATTATTATTATTATTATTATTATTCGGTGTGCTGTATCCCACCGAGGCAGGGTGACCTAAAAAGAAAAACTAAAGCTTTTCTTTGTAAATTTAGTAGTCGATACAGGAGGTGTTACTAACACCTTGCTGCTGGCAATTTAATCACCTTTTACAACACATGGATTACTATTATTATTCTTATTATTATTTTCAGGTTGCAGTGCTGAGAAGTTTAAGCCACAAAAATGTGTTAAGATTTATTGGTGTACTGTATAAGGACCGCAAGCTTCACCTGCTCACCGAATACATTGGCGGAGGAACCTTAAAGGAGATCATCCATAACCTGGAGGAGCCTTTACCCTGGGATCAACGAATTAGTTTTGCAAAAGACATAGCCTCAGGCATGGCCTACCTGCATAATTGTGATATTATTCATAGGGATCTTAACTCCAACAACTGCCTAGTTAGAGAAGTAAGAACTGCCAATAACTTCAGTCAAGTGCAGTAAGCTCTTGTATAGCTACAGGTGCTCCTTGACTTACCATTGTTTGACTTATGATGGTTCAACTTATGATACTTCGACTAATGATGGTCTGACTTATGATATTTTGATTTACGATGGTTTGACTTACAATATTTTGACTTTATGATAGTTCAACTTGTGATATTTCGACTTAACGATGGTTTGACATGTGATATTTTGACTTTATGATTGTTTGATTTACGACATTTTGACTTACGATGGTTTGACTTACGATATTCTGTCTTTACAGTGGTTCAACTTGAATAATTTGAATTTATGATGGTTCAACTTTTGATATTTTGACTGTGATGGTGCAAAAGCAATTAGAGGAGGGGCCCCACATGTAGAGCACCCTCTTGTCAGTGTTCCACATTTCTGTTGGCTTCAAATCAAGCCATAGTTCATGATGTTCCACCGGTGGGTGGAACGACGACTCAGTTGAAAACCAGCAAAAACATGGAACACTGACAAGAAGTGCTGTATGTACAGGACCCCTGTAAGTAACTCACGAAAGCGTAATGACACGATTGCAAACAAACCACACCACAGGCGGGGTTAAAACCCATGATCAGAGAGTTGGTCTGGAGTTTTATGACTCTGATCACGGGTTCTAACCCTGCCCGTGGTATTGCTTTTTTCCCCTGAAATTTGAGATTATTACCCGGTGTGAAGGCGACAAGTCCCTAACTTGTATTCTTTTATTTACTTTCCAATACTGGTATATAGTATGTTGCGCTAATTGTTTATTATTCAGTGGCTAGTACTTATTTATTATTTATTTATCGTGTAATATTCATATTTGACGTGATATTTTTGACATACGGTATTTGCAACTTATGATGTGTTTGTTGGAACATAATACCATTGTAAGTTTAGGAGCACCTGTATTCGTATGGCAATAATTTTGGTAGAATTACCAACAGAATGTTAGGTAAATGGACGCAACTAATGTGACGTTTTATTGTGGCGACATTTCGCCCACCAGAGCTATGTCAACTACTTTATATAGCCTCGAGAGAGCAAGACGTTTCCATAAACTGTCGCATTAATCGCATTAATTGTCCATTTACCTAACATTTCTATATGGTGCAAAACTTTTTTGCAAATGCAATTGAAAGAATGAATTCAGAATTGAATAGCTCATAGCCCTTTCCATCTGCTATTCTGTTTTGGGTGTACGTTTTAGTTGCATTTTCAAAAAGTCGCACTGTGCAGAGAGGCTTTATAAGAGAGTTTACTGTAATTGTGAAAGTTTTCAATGAATAATTGAATGGATAGTAGTGATTTTTTTTTTCGTTCCTCCATAACGGGGAATGGCTGAGTAACCCTTCAACCATCTCTGATATACTACCCTCTGTGTACTAGTATGATGTACACAGTACCAGTACCTGTGCACTAGTACATTGAACATTACCACCACTTGTGTACTAGTACATCAGACAGTACCACCATCTGTGTACTAGTACGTCAGACAGTACCACCATCTGTGTACTAGTACATCAGACAGTACCACCATCTGTGTACTAGTATGTCAGACAGTACCACCATCTGTGTACTAGTACATCAGACAGTACCACCATCTGTGTACTAGTACATCAGACAGTACCACCATCTGTGTACTAGTACGTCAGACAGTACCACCATCTGTGTACTAGTACATCAGACAGTACCACCATCTGTGTACTAGTACATCAGACAGTACCACCATCTATGTACTAGTACATCAGACAGTACCACCATCTGTGTACTAGTGCGTCAGACACCCTTTAAGAAGTACGTAAGTTCCCCCATCTTCTAATAACATGTTCATTTTCCACTATAATCTACCTTATCCATAATTACTATCACATTTTCTTCATTTGTTTCATAAGGTGAAGTCCAGGATCTTTCCTTAATTCATGGTATAACTTAACAAATCTTACAAAATCTACTTTGATGATCTTCATATCTGGAGAATAGATCTGTTTTCCCTTCCATATTACTCTTTTTTTAAACAAAACTAGTAATAAAAATATATCATTCTAAGGCAACACAGTTAGAACATTTTTAAAAACAGAAATCTGCAACACAATTGAGAACAATTGTGTTGCAGAGGTCTGATCAATTTCTCTAGTATTAAGTAGTCTGTAAGACATGAATTTAGTCTGCCCATAATTACGTGGCATGATACTGGCTCTCTCTGCACTGCAACTCATTATTGTAACTGCAGAATCTCAACGTAAACTTGCAAAGAGATAAAATTGTATTGTATTGTATAGAAGACGGGAGAACTTACGTGCCCCCTAAGGGTCAACACCACTATTGTCAGTTTAGTGATCATTCTTTCACCAACTTCAACACACTATAAAATTGTAAATTTTTATCAGACTTCACTCATTTTAACCCGTAAACGGTCCAAGCAGATCTACGTTCACATGTGTAGAGCTACAAAAGTAGATCTACGTTTTTTTTACACATTTTCAAATGTAGAAAAACAAAAGAAGATCTATTTTTTTTACATACTTTCAAATGTTGAAAAAACGTATATATACGTTTGGACCGTTTACGGGTTAATGTTATTTGATTCAGATTTGGCCCATGGCCGGGTTCTGGGAGTAGAAAATCTCTTGGAGCTAATCTGAAGTATATCGAAGGTATAGCAGAGGTATGTTGAAGGTATAGCAGAGGTATGTCAAAGGTATATCAGAGGTGTATAAGTGTAAATAATAATTCATTGACCAGGTGGGGCTTGAAGCCATGTTATTATGTTTCGGTGAATAATAAGTTGATACATTTTTCAGGATAAGACAGTTGTGGTTGCTGATTTTGGTTTGGCAAGAATTATGCCTCAGAACAATTGGACGGCCGAAAGGAAAAAATTCGGAAAAAAGCATGCAAGAAAGAAGCGGTGAGTTTTTTTTTTCATTGAACCAGCCATATCCCACCAAGGCAGGGTGACCTAAAAAAAGAAAAAACAAAAGCCTTTCTTTTTAAATTTAGTGATTTATACAGAAGGTGTTACTAGGTTACATACAAATTACAAATACAGTGGACCCCCGGTTAACGATATTTTTTCATTCCAGAAGTATGTTCAGGTGCCAGTACTGACCGAATTTGTTCCCATAAGGAATATTGTGAAGTAGATTAGTCCATTTCAGACCCCCAAACATACACGTACAAACGCACTTACATAAATACACTTACATAATTGGTCGCATTCGGAGGTGATCGTTATGCGGGGGTCCACTGTACATAGTATACAGTGGACCCCCGATTAACGATATTTTTTCACTCCAGAAGTATGTTCAGGTGCCAGTACTGACCGAATTTGTTCCCATAAAGAATATTGTGCAGTAGATTAGTCCATTTCAGACCCCCAAACATACACGTACAAACGCACTTATATAAATTCACTTACATAATTGGTCACATTAGAAGGTGATCGTTAAGCGGGGGTCCACTGTACTGTACTGAGGATACAGTAAGTTCTCTGTTTACAAACACATTGAGAATCTTATGTATTGTGTATAATATCATTATTATTTTATCATTATTGTGGTTTTTTTTTTTTTTTTTTTTTTTTTTTTTCAACAAGTCGGCCGTCTCCCACCGAGGCAGGGTGACCCACCGAGGCAGGGTGACCCACCGAGGCAGGGGGACCCACCGAGGCAGGGTGACCCACGGAGGCAGGGTGACCCACGAGGCAGGGTGACCCACCGAGGCAGGGTGACCCACCGAGGCAGGGTGACCCACGGAGGCAGGGTGACCCACCGAGGCAGGGTGACCCACCGAGGCAGGGTGACCCACCGAGGCAGGGTGACCCACCGAGGCAGGGTGACCCACCGAGGCAGGGTGACCCACCGAGCAGGGTGACCCACCGAGGCAGGGTGACCCACCGAGGCAGGGTGACCCACCGAGCAGGGTGAAACCACCGAGGCAAAGGTGACCCACCGAGGCAGGGTGACCCACCGAGCTAGGTGACCCACCGAGGCAGGGATGACCCACCGAGGCAGGGTGACCACGGAGGCAGGGTGACCCACCGAGGCAGGTGACCCACCGAGGGGGTACCCACGAGGCAGGTACCACGAGGCAGGGTGACCCACGGAGGCAAAGGGGGAAACCACCGAGGCAGGGTGACCCACCGAGGCAGGTGACCCACCGGGCAGGGTGACCCACCGAGGCAGGGTGACCCACCGAGGCAGGTGACCCACCGAGGCGGTGACCCACCGAGGCAGGTGACCCACCGAGGCAGGTGACCCACCGAGGCAGGGTGACCCACCGAGGCAGGTGACCCACCGAGGCAGGGTGACCCACGAGGCAGGGTGACCCACCGAGGCAGGGTGACCCACCGAGGCAGGGTGACCCACCGAGGCAGGGTGACCCACTGAGGCAGGGTGACCCACCGAGGCAGGGTGACCCACCGAGGCAGGGTGACCCACCGAGGCAGGGTGACCCAGAAAAGAAAGAAAATCCCCAAAAAGAAAATACTTTCATCATCATTCAACACATTTCACCTCACTCACACATTATCACTGTTTTTGCAGAGGTGCTCAGAATACAACAGTTTAGAAGCATATACGTATAAAGATACACAACATATTATTGTGTATAATATCATTATTATACACAGTACAGAAGGCCCCTAACATGTTCGTTAATAAATTAGACACATGTGCAACTCTTGGGTATCTTTATTGAGGAAACGTTTCGCCACACAGTGGCTTCATCAGTCCATACAAAGGAGAATCTTGAAGAATAGGAGGAGAATGAGGTAATTTATCAACATGTCAGTTCTCTGAACCATTCATCTACAAACATGTTCGTTAGTTGAAGACTTTCTCTACAGGTTAGTTATCACTAATCTGGCATCATCAGGACCTGTAGGGTGCTGGATTAGTGATTTTGCTGGATTACAGAGTGGTTAGGTTAGAATACACTTAACCCAACAGTTGACCACCTCAGGCTACCTATTAAATACTCCATAAATCAGTGCAAATCGGTTCACCCTTTTACTCTCATGACCCCTACTAGCAAACTTGCTCCCAATGTCGAAGAATTAAAAAAAAAATGATTTTATCTTATGAAATGATAGAGAATCTTTTACCGAAGGTAATGAAACCAAAAGTACGAAATTTGATGGAAAATTTATGGAATTGTGCTATCGCAAAGCTAGTGCCCTCTGCGATATTTACGCATCGGCAATTTTGCCCACTTTACATCCTATTTTTGGCCAATTCCATTGTTTAGTTGACCAAACTCATAGCTATTTTGCTAATATTCCTTCTCTTCTGTCAATTAAGTATGAGAGACTACCCATTGACCTATTTCAACTACTCAATAAACTGATCAGAAATCGATAATTTGGCAAATTTCACACGAATTTCAAGTGATGCCAACTTCAAAATAGTGTCCAGAATAAACAGTGCAGACATTTTTGGCACTAAAATAGCATCATGTCTCCAGGCCCTCTTATATTATGCTTACTTTCCATTCTGAATATTTATTCACACAAAAAATAGAAAATTTTCTGTTATTCAGACTACTGCATAATTGTATAAATATTATCAGCGCATTTGTGAATGCACATTAGACTGGCCAGTTGACGTGTATTATTTACTGTCGAGCATCAACAAAAATTGAACATTTCTGCTACTTTGAGCCCAATTTCAAGCTACTTTCTGTCCTGAAGCTAATCAAAATCATCTCTGTTTCTGTAATACATCTTCCATTCTATCAAATGAGACCAAAAAATCGAGAATACAACCATAAAAACCATACGAAGATACACTGCAAAGTCAGAGAAACAAATTTGAATGGCTTGCCTGTGTTTGCAAGTGACATCAACAGTGTTTATGCAGCAAGTAGCAGCAGGTTGGTGAGGCAACCCGGGAAATTTGAAATTACACCAGCCAAAATTAGTGTCGGATTAGTGATGGAACCGGATCAGTGATGGCCAACATGTGTTATGAATATTATACACAATTCAGTAAGTCCCCAGTGTGTTCATAAGTTGAGGACTTCTCTGTTATGAATTTTTTTTTATTAACACAACGGCCTTCTCCCACCAAGACAGGGTGACCCGTTAAAAAAACTTTCACCATTATTCACTCCATCACTGTCTTGCCAGAGGTGCACTCACACTACAGTTATAAAACTGCAACATTAACACCTCTCCTTCAGAGTGCCGGCACTGTACTTCCCATCTTCACAACTGTAACATCCTCATTCCTTCGAGTGCCAGCACTGTACTTCCCATCTTCACAACTGTAACATCCTCAATCATCCTTCAGAGTGCCGGCACTGTACTTCCCATCTTCAGAACTGTAACATCCTCAATCATCCTTCAGAGTGCAGATACTGTACTTCCCATCTCCAGGACTCAAGTCTTGCTAACTGGTTTCCATGAATTCCTTCATAAATGTTGCCTTGCTCACACTCCAACAGCATGTCAAGTCCTAAAAACCATTTGTTTCCACCCCTTCCTAACACACTCATGCATTCTTGCTGGAAGTCCAAGCCCCTCGCACACGAAACCTCCTTTACCCCCTCCCTCCAACCTTTCCTAGGCTGACCTCTACCTCCACTACAGATTTATTCACTCTCCAAGTCATTCTATTTTGTTCCATCTGCTCGAAATGTCCGAACCACCTCAACAACCCCTCCTCAGCACCACCTCAACACCCCCTCCTCAGCACAGCCTCCACAACTCTTCCTCTGCTCTGTGGATAATAAATACTTTTAGTACCCAACACCTCCTAATCTCCAAGCTATGGATTCTCTGCATTATATTCACACTGCACATTGCCCTCAGACATAACATCTCCACTGCCTCAAGTCTTCTCCTCGACTGCCTTCAGCCTTCTCCTCCACTGCCTCCAGCTTCCTCCACCACTGCCTCCAGCCCTCTCCTTGTTGCAACATTCACCACCCATGCTTCACACCCATATAATAGTGTTGGTATAATATACTCTCATACATTCCCCTCTTTGTGTTCATGGATAATATTCTTTGTCTCCACAGACTCCTATGTGCAAAACTCACTTTTTTCCCCTCATCAATTCTCTGATTCACCTCATCTTTCATAGACACATCTGCTGACATGTCCACTCCTAAATATCTGAATCACATTCACCTCTTCCATACTCTCTCCCTCCAATCTGATAAACAATCTTTCATTACCTAATTTTTTTTATCCTCATCACCTCACCCTTACCTATATTCACTTTTAATTTCCATCATTTACATACCTACCAAATTCATCCACCAACCTCTGCAACTTGTCTTCAGAATCTGCCAAAAGCACAGAGTCATCAGCAAAGAGCAACTGTGATAACTCCCACTTTGTGTTAGATTCTTTATCTTTTAACTCCACACCTCTTGCCAACACCCCAGCATCACTTCTCTTACAACCCCATCTATAAATATATTGAATATTATACACAATTCAGATCTGTATGAGGTTTCTACTTTTGTCTCCTTCCAACAGATACACTGTTGTGGGCAACCCTTACTGGATGGCACCCGAGATGATGAAGGGCAATAAATATGATGAGAAGGTCGACATCTTCAGCTTTGGCATTATTTTATGTGAGGTAAGGCCATATTTGTTTATGTGAGGCAAGGCTTCAGGGTCCCCATAACAGTTCAAACTTCAGGGTCCCCATAACAGTTCAAGCTTCAGGGCCCTCATAACAGTTCAAGCTTCAGGGCCCTCATAAAAGCTCAAGCTTCAGGGACCCCATAACATTTCAAGCTTCTGGGTCCCATAACAGTTCAAGCTTCAGGGCCTCCATAGCAGTTCAAGCTTCATGGCCCCATAACAGTTCAAGCTTCAGGACCCCCTATAACAGCTCAAACTTCAGGGCAACAAAAAATGTAGTTTTGACAGTGATTACTGATCATCTTCTTCCACCAAGCCAGCAGTATCCCACTGAGACACGGTGACCTGAAAAAAAAAAGAAACTTTCTCTATTAACCCCTTCAGGGTCCAAGGCCCAAATCTGAAGTGGTGCCCCAGTGTCCAAGAATTTTCAAAAAAAAAAATTTGTTATTTTTTCTTATGAAATGGTAGAGAATCTTTTTGTGAAGGTAATAAAACAAAAAGTACGAAATTTGATGGAAAATTGACGAAATTATGCTCTCGCGAATTTTGATGTGTCAGCGATATTTACGAATCGGCGATTTTGCCGACTTTGACTCCCATTTTAGGCCAATTACATTATTCCAGTCAACCAAATTCTTAGCTATTTCACTAGTATTACTTCTATTCTATCGATTGAGCACAAGAAATCGCCAAGTCAACTGTTTCAACTACAAATTAAAGTGATCGGAAATTGTTAATTTGGCCAATTTAACACAAAGTTCAAAATATTCCAATTTCAAAATAAGGTCCAGAATAAACAATGTAGATATTCCTAGAACTAAACTAACATTTCCTCTGTTCATTAGTTATGTTTTGAGGCTTTACAAATAAATTCCATTTTGATTTTTTATTCACATAATGAATTTTTATTCACACCAAAAAATAGAAGATTTACTGTTATGCAATACTGTAATAATTGTATAAATATCATCACCATATTTGTGAATGCATATCAGACCCACCAGCTGGCGTGTATTAGACGTGTGAGGCCGTTTGTTTACTCTTGAATACCGGCAAAAATTTAACATTTCTGCTACTTTGAGCTCAGTTTCAAGCCATTTCCAGTGCTAAAACCAATCAAAATCATCTCTATTTCTGTAATATGTCTTCCATTCTATCAAATGAGACCAAGAAATCGCAAATAGAACTATAAAAAACATACGAAAAAACACTGCAAAGTCGCTGTTTTAATCGAAAAATCATAATTTCAGTTTTTTCACTCATTACACACAGCGTGCTGCAGGATCTGTTTTATGTGGTGCACACATACCACATAGATGTATTCTCTCATATCTAGGCCCAAATGTACCACTCACAGTTTATCAGAGTGAGCTGAGCTCATGACGTAGATCTACGATTTGGACCCTGAACGTAAAGCCGTAGATCTACGGGACGGACCCTCAAAGGGTTAAGTTTAGTAATGTATACAGGAGAAAGGGTTACGACCCCCTTTCTCCCGGCATCTTAATCACCTCTTATGACATGCATGGCTTATGGAGGAAGAATTTTGTTCTGCTTCCCCATGGAGATTATTATCATTACTATTATTATTATTACTGCTGGAAGGAAGGTGCTAGTAACACCTGTATAAATTACTAAATTTAAAAAGATTTTTTTTTTCTTTTTGGGTCACCCTGCTTTGGTGGGATTCAGCCAGTTTGTTGAAAACAAAATTTTATGATTATTATTATTATTATTTCAACCTACCAGTCCTCTCCCACCGAGGTGGGGTGACCTAAACGAAAAATAAATGGAAATTTTTCTTTTTAAATATAGTAATTTATACAGATGTTATTAACCCCTTACTCTTGTATTATTATTATTATTATTATTATTATTATTATTATTATTATTATTATTATTATTATTATTATTATTATTATTAATTTTATTACTATAATTTTCCCTTTCGTGAGTTACTATTTATGGCTTTTGTTTACATCGCACATGCGCTCAAGGTCAGGCTAAATTTTTTCAAAAACTCATTGTACTTAGAAGGGCCCAAAATCTGGAGCCTGGTTCAGCATTTTTAAAACTACATGGGAAAGTGGAATAGAATTCTTCCTCCGTAAGCTATGCGTGTTGTAAGAGGCGACTAAAATGCCGGGAGCAAGGGGATAGTAACCCCTTCTCCCGTATAAATTACTAAATTTAAAAAGAGAGACTTTCGTTTTTCTTTTTGGGCCACCCTGCCTTGGTGGGACACGGCCGATGTGTTGAAAGAAGAAAGAAGTTAAAAACCACCTTATATCCTTAAGCCTATCACAACCCATCATAAATACATATGTAAAAACTATATACAGTAGGGCCCCGCTTTACAGCGTTTCGCTTTACGGCGTTCCGCTAATACGGTCATTTCAAATTATGACCAAAACTCGCTATACGGCTCCCCCCACCTGACTTTCTAATACGGTCACCGCGCTCCACCTGGTTTGTTTACATTCTCTGTGAGATCTGTAAGCACTAAGTCTCTCCATTATGTCTGGAAACTCCAAAATTTCAAATGTTTTTAAAAGTTATTTCATATTTTATATGTACTCTGATAATTATACTTATGTATACCTGTACTTAAATAAACTTACATATTGTGCTGGCATGCAGGTACACATTAAAATCAGTAAGAGTGTTCTTTGTCTCCAGACGTCATATTATTAATGATAATAATAATAATCACCGAGTCGCATTTAAATGTCGTATATTACGTTAATATACACATTTTCATTAATCCATCTATGATATTTTTTTCAAAATTATATAATAAACACGATGCATAACATAAATATGATAAATACACCCCACAGTAGAATAAATAAACATAAATATGAGATGTGGTAGCCAGATAACTTGTACAAGTGATGCCAAGAATAACATTTTCTCTAATCTAACATAAGAGAAAATGTGTTACTGGGGGTAACTGTAGAAAATTATTCCTTTCGTATGTAAGTAAGTTTATTCAGGTATACACAAATACAGTTACATAGATTATCATACATAACAACATATGTGTAGAGAACCTAGGATAACCCAAAAAAAGTCAGACAGAGTGACTTATTTCCATTGCCTTCACTCAGAGCATCATTTCTTCTCAAAATGATGTTACATGAGAATGGGAGTGTTCTTCTTTATTTATTCTACCATATCAATGTAGAGACAACCTGTACACAATGTAACTTGTACACAAACCAGACGTGTACACTTTGTTTGTTTACAAAACTTACGTTCGCCTGGTTTGTTTACATAACTCTGCGCCTGTCCTCTCTCATGCACTCATTCTTTCTCTCTCTCATTTATTCGTTTTATCTCATTTACTTACTCCTGACCCTACATTAAGACTACAAATATTTTAAGGTAAGTAATGAGTGAACTGTATATACATTTTATCGCTCTGGGATGCTTAAATATCATAGAATAGTATGTGTGGGTGGGGTGGCCTGGTATGGTAGCCTGGCTGATTACCATACATACCACACTTGATTTCTTACAATAAATACTACTTGTCTCACCCTAGATTAAGACTATAAATATTTTAAGGTAAGTAATGAGTGCACTATGTGTGTATTGTACTTTTTTATTGTTTTTTGATGCCTGGTTCTATTGCTAACTTAATATATGTTAGTGTAAACTTGTTATCTAGTGTTTGTATGTATTTGTAAGTGGAAAAAAAGGGTGTTCCACTTTACGGCGGTTTCCGCTTTACGGCGGTAGCCTGGAACCTAACCAGCTGTATAAGTGGGGCCCTACTGTATTCATTTGCTCAATATCATGAACATAGGTAAAACTTTCTAATCAATATATACTTACTCTCAATATCTGTATTCATCTCAAATGTTAATCACTCCATTATGACCGCCTAACCTGGAGTTTACCTGGAGAGAGTTTCGGGGGTCAACGCCCCCGCGGCCCGGTCTGTGACCAGGCCTCCTGGTGGATCAGCGCCTGATCAACCAGGCTGTTGCTGCTGGCTGCACGCAAACCAACGTACGAGCCACAGCCCGGCTGATCAGGAACTGCCTTTAGGTGCTTGTCCAGTGCCAGCTTGAAGACTGCCAGGGGTCTGTTGGTAATCCCCCTTATGTGTGCTGGGAGGCAGTTGAACAGTCTCGGTCCCCTGACACTTATTGTATGGTCTCTTAACGTGCTAGTGACACCCCTGCTTTTCATTGGGGGGATGGTGCATCGTCTGCCAAGTCTTTTGCTTTCGTAGTGAGTGATTTTCGTGTGCAAGTTCGGTACTAGTCCCTCTAGGATTTTCCAGGTGTATATAATCATGTATCTCTCCCTCCTGCGTTCCAGGGAATACAGGTTTAGAAACCTCAAGCGCTCCCAGTAATTGAGGTGTTTTATCTCCGTTATGCGCGCCGTGAAAGTTCTCTGTACATTTTCTAGGTCGGCAATTTCACCTGCCTTGAAAGGTGCTGTTAGAGTGCAGCAATATTCCAGCCTAGATAGAACAAGTGACCTGAAGAGTGTCATCATGGGCTTGGCCTCCCTAGTTTTGAAGGTTCTCATTATCCATCCTGTCATTTTTCTAGCAGATGCGATTGATACAATGTTATGGTCCTTGAAGGTGAGATCCTCCGACATAATCACTCCCAGGTCTTTGACGTTGGTGTTTCGCTCTATTTTGTGGCCAGAATTTGTTTTGTACTCTGATGAAGATTTAATTTCCTCATGTTTACCAATCTGAGTAATTGAAATTTCTCATCGTTGAACTTCATATTGTTTTCTGCAGCCCACTGAAAGATTTGGTTGATGTCCGCCTGGAGCCTTGCAGTGTCTGCAATGGAAGACACTGTCATGCAGATTCGGGTGTCATCTGCAAAGGAAGACACGGTGCTGTGGCTGACATCCTTGTCTATGTCGGATATGAGGATGAGGAACAAGATGGGAGCTAGTACTGTGCCTTGTGGAACAGAGCTTTTCACCGTAGCTGCGTCGGACTTTACTCTGTTGATGACTACTCTCTGTGTTCTGTTAGTGAGGAAATTATAGATCCATCGACCAACTTTTCCTGTTATTCCTTTAGCGCGCATTTTGTGCGCTATTACGCCATGGTCACACTTGTCGAAGGCTTTTGCAAAGTCTGTATATATTACATCTGCATTCTTTTTGTCTTCTAGTGCATTTAGGACCTTGTCGTAGTGATCCAGTAGTTGAGACAGACAGGAGCGACCTGTTCTAAACCCATGTTGCCCTGGGTTGTGTAACTGATGGGTTTCTAGATGGGTGGTGATCTTGCTTCTTAGGACCCTTTCAAAGATTTTTATGATATGGGATGTTAGTGCTATTGGTCTGTAGTTCTTTGCTGTTGCTTTACTGCCCCCTTTGTGGAGTGGGGCTATGTCTGTTGTTTTTAGTAACTGAGGGACGACCCCCGTGTCCATGCTCCCTCTCCATAGGATGGAAAAGGCTCGTGATAGGGGCTTCTTGCAGTTCTTGATGAACACAGAGTTCCATGAGTCTGGCCCTGGGGCAGAGTGCATGGGCATGTCATTTATCGCCTGTTCGAAGTCATTTGGCGTCAGGATAACATCGGATAGGCTTGTGTTAATCAAATTTTGTGGCTCTCTCATAAAAAATTCATTTTGATCTTCGACTCTCAGTCTGGTTAGCGGCTTGCTAAAAACTGAGTCATATTGGGACTTGAGTAGCTCACTCATTTCCTTGCTGTCATCTGTGTAGGACCCATCTTGTTTAAGTAGGGGCCCAATACTGGACGTTGTTCTCGATTTTGATTTGGCATAGGAGAAGAAATACTTTGGGTTTCTTTCGATTTCATTTATGGCTTTTAGTTCTTTCCCGCGATTCCTGACTCCTAAAGGATTCTTTTAGCTTAAGTTCGATGCTTGCTATTTCTCTGACCAGTGTCTCCCTGCGCATTTCTGATATATTGACCTCTTTTAGCCGCTCTGTTATTCTTTTCCGTCGCCTGTAAAGGGAGCGCCTGTCTCTTTCTATTTTACATCTACTCCTCCTTTTTCTTAGAGGAATAAGCCTTGTGCATACATCGAGTGCCACCGAGTTAATCTGTTCTAGGCATAAGTTTGGGTCTGTGTTGCTTAGTATATCTTCCCAGCTTATATCGGTTAGGACTTGGTTTACTTGGTCCCACTTTATGTTTTGTTATTGAAGTTGAATTTGGTGAATGCTCCCTCGTGACTAGTCTCATTTTGTCGGTCTGAGGCTCCACGCATACATGTCTGAACCTCAATTATGTTGTGATCTGAGTATATTGTTTTTGATATGGTGACATTTCTTATCAGATCATCATTGTTAGTGAAGATGAGGTCTAGTGTATTCTCCAGTCTAGTAGGCTCTATTATTTGCTGGTTTAAATTGAATTTTGTGCAGAGATTTAAAAGCTCGTGTGAGTGTGAGTTTTCATCAGAGCTGCCTCCTGGTGTTATTACTGCAACAATATTATTTGCTATATTCCTCCATTTTAGGTGCCTTAAGTTGAAATCCCCCAGGAGCAAGATGTTGGGTGCAGGAGCTGGAAGATTTTCCAGACAGTGGTCAATTTTTAACAGCTGTTCCTGGAATTGCTGGGATGTTGCATCCGGAGGCTTGTAGACTACCACAATGACTAGGTTTTGGTTCTCGACCTTTACTGCTAAAACTTCCACTACGTCATTTGAGGCATTAAGCAGTTCTGTGCAAACAAGTGACTCTGCAATGTACAGGCCAACCCCCCCCTTTTGCCTGTTCACTCTGTCACATCTGTATAGGTTGTAACCTGGGATCCATATTTCGTTGTCCAAGTGATCCTTTATGTGGGTCTCAGTGAAAGCCGCGAACATTGCCTTTGCCTCTGCAAGCAGTCCACGGATGAAAGGTATTTTGTTGTTTATTGCTGGCTTTAGACCCTGTATATTTGCAAAGAAGAATGTTATCGGACTGGTGGTATTGTTGGTACTGGGGTTAATTATCAAAATTTTACATCTTCTCTACAAGACTTATTAACTCTTAAACTGTCCAAACGTAGATCTACGTTTGCTCGTGCACTGCTCCGAACATAGATCTACGAGTTTTTTTGCATTCATTCTTATGGGGGAAAATCAAGGTCGGAGTGCTACGTACAGAAATGTAGACCTACGTTTGGGCAGTTTAAGGGTTAAAACCGTATAGCATGACTTAATAGAATACTCAAGTCTCTTGTATTCATTGTAACTCATCTAATTTCCGTATGTACTCTTATTACCTTATTAATCTTAAGTTAATACAGTGGACCCCCGCATAACGATCACCTCCGAATGCGACCAATTATGTAAGTGTATTTATGTAAGTGCGTTTGTACGTGTATGTTTGGGGGTCTGAAATGGACTAATCTACTTCACAATATTCCTTATGGGAACAAATTCGGTCAGTACTGGCACCTGAACATACTTCTGGAATGAAATAATATCGTTAACCGGGGGTCCACTGTATTAAGTTTGCCTGAAATGCTCTGCATACAAAGGGGCTTTTGGCACGTACACCCAATTATTATATTTCTTTGTATAAACATGTATCATGTCAAAATAAATTACTATTATTCTTACATTATTATTATTATTGTTATTATGGTCGCTTTTACCATTGCAGATTATTGGTCGAGTTGAAGCTGATCCAGATTACATGCCGCGCTCCATGGATTTTGGCCTCAATGAAGCGGTGTTTCACGCCAGTTACTGTCAAGAGTGTCCGGAACCTTTCTATAAGATTGCCTTCATGTGTTGCAATATCAATCCTGATGCCAGGTGTTTAACCACCCTTTTGTGTTTCAGTTTTACTCTAAAAGACTTTGAAGACAGTTTGGTGGGCTAACTTAGGTAAAAAAAACATACCAAAAACTAGTATGATAATGCTTCTATTAATTAAAATATAGTAGGACCCCCGTATCCTCCGCGGGGGATAGGTTCCAAGGACCTGCCATGGATGCCAAAACTGTGAATAATAACAGACCCTATATATAAGTCCTATACATACCTATTACAGTGGACCCCCGCATAACGATTACCTCCGAATGCGACCAATTATGTAAGTGTATTTATGTAAGTGCGTTTGTACGTGTATGTTTGGGGGTCTGAAATGGACTAATCTACTTCACAATATTCCTTATGGGAACAAATTCGGTCAGTACTGGCACCTGAACATACAGTGGACCCCCGGTTAACGAACTTTTTTCATTCCAGTAGTATGTTCAGGTGCCAGTACTGACCGAATTTTTTCCCATAAGGAATATTGTGAAGTAGATTAGTCCATTTCAGACCCCCAAACATACACGTACAAACGCACTTACATAAATACACTTACATAATTGGTCGCATTGGGAGGTGATCGTTAAGCGGGGGTCCACTGTACTTCTGGAGTGAAAAAATATCGTTAACCGGGGGTCCACTGTATAAGGTTTAATTGATAAATTATGCACAGTAAGTGGAAAATTATCACTTTTTCACTGATGGGAAGCGCTGTGTGACTTCGTTTAGGCTTTGAACAACTGCCAGCTTCTCTACTTTTGTGCTTTGGGGCCATTATTATGTAAAATTAAGAGATATTTTGGGGCCACATTAAACCATGGATAACTGAAACTGCAGATACCGAATTAGTGTATAATGATAATAATAATAATAATAATAATAATAATAATAACAATAGTAATGATAATAATTCTTATTTGTAGTAGCGGAGGGAAGGCGAGGTAGGGGTCGGGAAGGCGAGGTAGGGGCCGTCATAGGAAAGGATGGAGGGAGGGGGTAAAGGAGGTCTTGTGCAAGGGGCTTACACATACAGCAGGTATGTGTGAGCATGTTAGGTGGGAGTGAGTAGAGATGAATGTTTTTGGGACCTGACGAGCTGTTGGAGTGTGAGCAAGCTAATGTTTTGTGAAGAGATTTAGGGAGACGGATTAGTCGGACTTGAGTCCTGGATACAATACCTGCACTCTAAAGGAGGGGTTTGGGATATTTGATGTTTGGAGTGACATCTAAACATTCATATCGATGTACCTCTGACAGGACAGTAATAGTGTGTCTTCATCAGGTTACCCTGCCTCAGTGAGAGATAACCAGTGCCTTAAAATACAAAAATAATGATAATGATAATAATACAAGATATTTCACATAGTAGACTCTTAAAAACGTAAATTTTATTCTATCATGAAAAGCAATAAAAGAAATTATCATAATTTATTATTGAAAATCTTGTTAGAGAACTAACTCAGTTTTTTAATAGTAATTTTTAATTCAAAGAAGTCATCCTGATGTTAGTAAGACACTCTTGATCCAAGAAATTGGAGCTATCCATCACTTTTATTAAATCTGATTGATTTCCCAGCTGCTACATGGCCTATGATTTCAGTAATGTTATAATTTCTATTTTTATTTTCAGACCAGCAGCTGGGAGATCTGATTGATCTCCCAGCTGCTGTTGTCCCAAGAGTTTCAGTAATGTTACGATTTTTATTTCTGATTTCAGACCAGCGTTTGAGATACTAGAAGTCTGGTTAGAAGGGCTGGCAATGCATTTTGCCGTTGGCGTTCCTGTTCCGGCTAACCTTCTTGTCGATATATACACTTTTAATGGTACGGTTCAACTAATGTACAGGAGGGCCCTGCTTATACAGCAGGTCAGGTTCCTGGCTACTGCTGTGCAGGAGGGCCCTGCTTATACAGCAGGTCAGGTTCCTGGCTACTGCTGTGCAGGAGGGCCCAGCTTATACAGCAGGTCATGTTCCTGGCTACTGCTGTGCAGGAGGGCCCTGCTTATACAGCAGGTCAGGTTCCTGGCTACTGCTGTACAGGAGGGCCCTGCTTATACAGCAGGTCAGGTTCCTGGCTACTGCTGTACAGGAGGGTCCTGCTTATACAGCAGGTCAGGTTCCTGGCTACTGCTGTACAGGAGGGCCCTGCTTATACAGCAGGTTAGGTTCCTGGCTACTGCTGTACAGAAGTGCCTGCTTATACAGCAGGTTAGGTTCCTGGCTACTGCTGTACAGAAGTGTCCTGCTTATACAACAGGTTAGGTTCCTGGCTACTGCTGTACAGAAGTGCCTGCTTATACAGCAGGTTAGGTTCCTGGCTACTGCTGTACAGAGGTGTCCTGCTTATACAGCAGGTTAGGTTCCTGGCTACTGCTGTACAGAAGTGCCTGCTTATACAGCAGGTTAGGTTCCTGGCTACTGCATGTACAAAGGTGTCCCTGCTTATACAGCAGGTTAGGTTCCTGGCTACTGCTGTACAGAAGTGTCCTGCTTATACAGCAGGTTAGGTTCCTGGCTACTGCTGTACAGAAGTGTCCTGCTTATACAGCAGGTCAGGTTCCTGGCTACTGCTGTACAGAAGTGCCTGCTTATACAGCAGGTTAGGTTCCTGGCTACTGCTGTACAGAAGTGCCTAATTATACAGCAGGTTAGGTTCCTGGCTACTGCTGTACAGAAGTGCCTAATTATACAGCAGGTTAGGTTCCTGGCTACTGCTGTACAGAAGTGCCTAATTATACAGCAGGTTAGGTTCCTGGCTACTGCTGTACAGAAGTGCCTGCTTATACAGTAGGTTAGGTTCCTGGCTACTGCTGTACAGAAAGTGCCTGCTTATACAGCAGGTTAGGTTCCTGGCTACTGCTGTACAGAAGTGCCTGCTTATACAGCAGGTTAGGTTCCTGGCTACTGCTGTACAGAAGTGCCTGCTTATACAGCAGGTTACGTTCCTGGTTACTGCTGTACAGAAGTGTCCTGCTTATACAGCAGGTTAGGTTCCTGGCTACTGCTGTACAGAAGTGCCTGCTTATACAGCAGGTTAGGTTCCTGGCTACTGCTGTACAGAAGTGCCTGCTTATACAGCAGGTGTTCCTGGCTACTGCTGTACAGAAGTGCCTGCTTATACAGCAGGTTAGGTTCCTGGCTACTGCTGTACAGAAGTGCCTGCTTATACAGCAGGTTAGGTTCCTGGCTACTGCTGTACAGAAGTGCCTGCTTATACAGCAGGTGTTCCGGCTACTGCTGACAGAATGTCCTGCTTATACAGCAGGTTAGGTTCCTGGCTACTGCTGTACAGAAGTGCCTGCTTATACAGCAGGTTAGGTTCCTGGCTACTGCTGTACAGAAGTGCCTGCTTATACAGCAGGTTAGGTTCCTGGCTACTGCTGTACAGAAAGTGCCCTGCTTATACAGCAGGTTAGGTTCCTGGCTACTGCTGTACAGAAGTGCCTGCTTATACAGCAGGTTAGATTCCTGGCTACTGCTGTACAGAAGTGCCTGCTTATACAGCAGGTTAGGTTCCTGGCTACTGCTGTACAGAAAGTGCCCTGCTTGTACAGCAGAATAGGTTCCTTGCTACTGCTGTACAGAAGTGCCTGCTTATACAGCAGGTTAGGTTCCGGCTACGCTGTAAAGAAGTTCCTGCTTATACAGCAGGTTAGGTTCCTGGCTACTGCTGTACAGAAGTGCCTGCTTATACAGCAGGTTAGGTTCCTGGCTACTGCTGTACAGAAGTGTCCTGCTTATACAGCAGGTTTAGGTTCCTGGCTACTGCTGTACAGAAGTGTCCTGCTTATACAGCAGGTTAGTTTCCTGGCTACTGCTGTAACAGAAGTGTCCTGTTATACAGCAGGTTAGGTTCCTGGCTACTGCTGTACAGAAGTTGCCTGCTTATACAGCAGGTTAGGTTTCCTGGCTACTGCTGTACAGAAGTGCTGCTTATACAGCAGGTTAGGTTCCTGGCTACTGCTGTACAGAAGTGCCTGCTTATACAGCAGGTTAGGTTCCTGGCTACTACTGTACAGATGAGCCCTGCTTATACAGCAGGTTAGGTTCCTGGCTACTGCTTGTACAGAAGTGTCCTGCTTATACAGCAGGTTAGGTTCCTGCTACTGCTTACAGAAGTGTCCTGCTGAATACAGCAGTTTAGGTTCCTGCTACTGCTGTACAGAATTGTCCTGCTTATACAGCAGGTTAGGTTCCTGGCTCTGCTGTACAGAAGTGCCTGCTTATACAGCAGGTTTAGGTTCCTGGCTACTGCTGTACAGAAGTGTCCTGCTTATAACAACAGTTAGGTTCCTGCTACTGCTGTACAGAAGTTCCTGCTTATACAGCAGGTTAGGTTCCTGGCTACTGCTGTACAGAAGTGTCCTGCTTATACAGCAGGTTAGGTTCCTGGCTACTGCTGTACAGAAGTGTCCTGCTTATACAGCAGTTAGGTTTTTGGCTACTGCTGTACAGAAGTGCCTGCTTATACAGCAGTTAGGTTCTTGGCTACTGCTGTACAGAAGTGCCTGCTTATACAGCAGGTTAGGTTCCTGGCTGTAAAGTGAAACAGCTATTTTCTTTTTTCACCTTCAAATGCATATAAAAGCCTGAAAACTATGTTATAAGTGAGCGACAGAGCTAGGCTATAAGTGGTGAATATATTATTGTAGGAAGTTCTGAATAATGAATAGGTAATGTATTGAAAACAGCGGCATTAGCGAACGCTGTAAAGTTGAAGCTCTGTTAAGCAAGGCTCCCCTGTACTGATTAAGTTTTAAATATACAAGGTGTGCAGTAGCATGAATGTGTAATGTTTTTTAAATTTTTCACAAAAACTTAGTTAACCATAACAAATCGTTTAAATTCGTTTAGAGGCTAAGAATATTTTTTCGGTTTAGAACATAGTTTTTGGACCGTCTGCACGACAGTGTGGGTGAGTGATGATGAAAGGTTTCTTCCTTTTTGGTCACACTGCCTCAGGTTGATCCATTAAAATTCCCTAAAGTCCATTTAATTGAATTATATCAACGAGGTAATCAGGTACAGGTGAGAGCAAGCTATAGTGCTCATGACCATACTTTGTGTGGACTCTGGCCTGATTTACAATTTTTTACCAACAAACCGACAGTCTTCCACCGAGGTAGGTGACTCAAAAAGAAAACTCTTTAACCATCACTCACTCCATCACTGTCTTCCCAAGGGTATCGACACTACATTCAAAACTGCAAATTCCCCACCCCTCCTTCAGTGTACTTCTGCACATAACACAGTGATGGAATGAGTGATAGTCAAAGTGTTTTTCTTTTCAAGGGTCACTTGACCTTGCTGAGAGAGGCTATGTTAACCCTTGACTGTTTTGGTCGTACATTACGTCGTACAAGCCGTGTTTCGGAGTAATGACACGCATAAATCTAGCGCTTCAAATCAAGCAGGAGAAAGCGGTAGGCCCACATGTGAGAAAATGGGCCTTGTGGTCAGAGTGCACCACATAAAAAAAATCCTGCAGCACCGCAGTGCATAATAAAAAAAAAACTCTGACCGTTCATTTTGATTAAAACGCCGACTTTGAGGTGTATTTTTGTATAGTATTTATCGTTGTATTCTCGTTTTCGTGGTCTCAGGTGATAAAATGGAAAACATATTACAGAAATAGAGATGATTTTGATTAGTTTCACAATGAAAACGACCTTGATATTGAGCTCAAAGTAGCAGAAATGTTCGATTTTTACTAGTGTTCAGGAGTAAGCAAATCACACCACACGTCAATACACGTCAACTGGGGAGTCTTATACAGTGGACCCCCGCTTAACGATCACCTCCAAATGCGACCAATTATGTAAGTGTATTTATGTAAGTGTGTTTGTACGTGTATGTTTGGGGGTCTGAAATGGACTAATCTACTTCACAATATTCCTTATGGGAACAAATTCGGTCAGTACTGGCACCTGAACATACTTCTGGAGTGAAAAAAGTTCGTTAACCGGGGGTCCACTGTATTCTTTCACTAGTGCACTGATATTATTTATACCATTTTTACAATAATGCAGTAGTCTGCATAACAGTAAATTTTGCATTTTTTGTATGAATAAAAAATAAAAATAGAAAGCAGTAGTAATATAAGAGGGGCCTAGAGACGTGACTAATGAACAGAGGATATGTTATTTTAGTGCCAAGAATGTCTACATTGTTTATTCTGGACCCTATTTTAAAATTGGCATCTTTTAATTTGCATGAAATTGGCCAAATTGCCAATTTCTGACCACTTTATTGGGTAGTTTAAATCAGTAAATGGGCAGTTTCTTGTACTCAATTGTTAGAAAAAAATGGAGTTCTGAAGAAATAACTATGAGTTTGGTCAACTGGAACAACAGAATTGGACAAAAATAGGGCTCAAAGTCGGCAAAAATTGCCGATGCATATATGTCGCTGAGATTGCTAACTTCACGGGAGCGAAATTGAGTTTTCGACCAAATTTCGTACTTTTGGTGTCATTATCATCGGGAAAAGATTCTCTATCATTTCATAAGATTTTTTTTTTTTTTTTTTTTTTTTTTTTCCAAAAAATTTTGCGGCATAGAATGACAGTTTCAGAAAGGGGCTTGCGACAGTCAAAGGGTTAAATATCAATCAATAGTAATTGCATGTGAAAAAAAAATTCCTCTTACCACACTCTTTTATTATTATTTTTTATCAAAATTTTAAAAATTTTGTTTTTGTTTATTTTTGCACTGGTGAGAATAATGGGAAGCAAACAAAAATAACTTTTTGTTTTATTGCCGTATTCGTAAGAATTCTCTTTTATTAATATAAATGCTTTCTCTTCAAGGGCGGAGTAATAGCAGCTCTTCCGAAGCCTCGACTCCAGAAGCTCCGACTTCAGATTCAAGACACCCGCCGCCTCTTTTACGCACTATTAGCGAAGGAAACTATTCTACCAATGATAGTATCAGCCATAATTCATCATTTGCCAGGGAAGACCATGACAGTTTTGATTCTCAAGATTTGCTTCTCAACGACACCAGTTGGAAGCTAAGGGAGAGCTTAGATTTAGGCAGGTTAGATAGTTTGGAGTCCAGGCGGAGTCCAGATTCGAGACGGAGTCCGGATACAAGGAGAAGCTCGGATGCAAAGCGGAGGAGCCCTGATGCAAGGCAGAGTCATCCTGATACAGTGCAGAGTCCTGATACAAGACAGAAAAGTCCTGAAACAAGATGGAGAAACCCTGATACACAACAGAGTAATTCTGATACAAAACAGAGTCCTGAAACAAGACGGAGGAGTCCTGAAACAAGACGGAGGAATCCTGATACACGACGGAGTAATTCTGACATAAAACAGAGTCCCGAAATGAGATGGAGGAATCCTGATACAACACGGAGTAATTCTGATACAAAACAGAGTCCCGAAACAAGACGGAGGAATCCTGATACGAGACGGAGGAATCTTGATACGAGACGGAGGAATCCCGATACAACACTGAGTAATACAGATACCAAACAGGGTTCCGATAAAAGTGTAGATAAGACAGATTCAGTTAGTAAAATATCCACTTCAAAGACTGAAGGAAAGTTCGATAAAGACCTCATTCCAGATACTCTTAATTCCTTCTCCCGGCCCCAGGCCAGCAGCTTGGTAGCAGATTTAGAATGTACACCTCTATGATTTTTTACCCGTTTTTTATGATATTTGTTATGATAATGTACAGAAAAATACTTGAAGGTTAAAGATTTTTTCTATTACATTGGAAAGTATTTTGAAGACAATTGGTACAAAGTTGACTTATAGCATTCCCAGTATAGTGATGTTAGATGTACCTTCCTAGGTAGTGGAGTAGATATTGTAATTCATAAATGGTTATATTGTTTATCACTGAAGGTGTTTTCCCTGTTTGATGGAGAAATTTGTAGCAGAGCCTTGTCCTCGAGGCTTGTGGTACCTCAGACAAGAGAGAGCTTGTTGCACAGGCGCTCCTCGCTTTACAATGGTTTGACTTGCGATATTTTGATTTATGATGTGTGATAATGATGTACATTCGGTACAGTAAGTCTTGAACTTACAAACACATTTGGGATCTCCTGTATTGTGTGTAATATTCATAATATAGGAAGTCTTCATCTAGGCAGTAGGTTAGTAGACAAAACCTGTCCAGACAGGTACTACCATCCTGCCAAGTGAGTGTAAAACAAAAACCTGTAATTGTATTACATGATGGTAGGATTGCTGGTGTCTTTTTTCTGTCTCATAAACATGCAAGACTTCAGGTACGTCTTGCTACTTCTACTTACACTTAGGTCACACTACACATACATGTACAAGCATATATATACACACCCCTCTGGGTTTTCTTCTATTTTCTTACTAGTTCTTGTTCTTGTTTATTTCCTCTTATCTCCATGGGAAGTGGAACAGAATTCTTCCTCCGTAAGCCATGCGTGTTGTAAGAGGCGACTAAAATACCAGGTGCAAGGGGCTAATAACCCCTTCTCCAGTATATATATTACTAAATTTAACCGTTAAACTGTCCGAACGTAGATCTATGGTCGTGTGCGGGCGCTTCGGATGTAGATCTACATTTTTTACATGCTTTCAAATGGGGAAAATAAAGGTCGGAGTGCTACGCATGTGAACGTAGATCTACAATTGGATAGTTTAGGGTTAAAAGGAGAAACTTTCGTTTTTCTTTTTGAGCCACCCCACCTCGGTGGGATACGGCCAGTGCGTTGAAAGCAGAAAAGAAAAGAAGTCTTCAACTTGTTAACACATTGGGGACCTGCTGTATTGTGTATAATAATATAATTATGATATTTTACACAATAATGATATAAATAATATACACAATAATAATATACGCAGTACAGAAGATTCTCAATATGTTTATAAGTTGAGGACTTACCGTACTGATTTTTGCTGCGTTTAACCAAATTTTCCCAAGTGTGTGTCTGGCTTCTGGTATTTATTCTCGTATTTACTTACAGTAATTATTTGTTTACTTACTCAGTGACGTAACCAAATTTTCCCTAACCCATTTTGTCGACTAAATGCCCAGGCGTCTCTCCTGCTTCTGGTATTTAGTTAGTTACAATCATTATTTTTATTTACTTACTTACTGACAATAGTTATTTATTTATTTATACATTGATATTTGACACAGTATTTTCAATTTACGATGAGTCGTTGGAACACAACTCCGTTTTAGTCGAGGAGTGCCTGTACTCGCTCTCTGATGATGTTTCCCTGTTGGAAAAATATCGTACAGGTAATCCTCATTGTAATATCTCACCTGGATGAATATTGAGCTGGCAGATCCTGCAATGTGTATGGTAGAGACACACTTGGCATAAAACAAACCTTTATCATAGACAATGTTTTACTCTAGGTAGAGCTCAGAAAGACAAGTAGTTAGAGGAGAGATATGGAATATAGGGACACACTGGTTTGGTAATAGAGTTGTGGATGAGTGGAACAAACTCCTGACTACCGTCGTAGAAGCTAAGACGTTGTGTAGTTTTAAAAATGGGTTAGATAAATACAAGTGTGGGTGTGAGTCTGTCCTGACTAGCTTGTGCTACTAGGTCTGATGCTGCGCTCCTTCCTTAAGTGAATGTGACCTGACCTGACTAGGTTAGACATCGGCTTAAGCCAGTAGGAGAATTGGACCTGCCTTGCATGGGCCAGTAGGTCTGCTTCAGTGTTCCTTCTTTCTTATATTCTTACGTTTTTAATGTTTTGCTCTACGTAGAGCATAGACAAGTAGTGACAGGAGACATTTTTTTTAGCCCAGCTTTTTGTACATTGGACTATGTGCAGCCAGCAGTAACAGTCTAATTGATCAGGCCCTGATCCACCGGGAGGCCTGGTTGTGGACCGGGCCATGAGGGTGTTGATCCCCTGAATACCCTCCAGGTACATAATACGTACTGTATCATGTATTTGATAAAACTACAAAGATTGAATCAGAAACTTTATAAAAGCATTTTGTGTACTGTAGTACAATTTTTGCAGATATAAAAACAAACACAGATGCCATATAAAGCGATCCTTTATTGTCTACGTTTTGCCGGCACACTACGCTTTATCACAGTCACAAACGCATCTGTTTGTAACTTGATAAAGCGCACCGTGTAGGCAAAATGGAGTCAGTAGACAGTCGCATTATGTTGTGTTTTTGTTTACCTTTCCTCCACGTTGGTATTTTATACCATTGATTGTCATTTTGAAAATGTAGTTGAAAGAAAGTACAGTGGACCCCCGATTAACGATATTATTTCATTCCAGAAGTATGTTCAGGTGCCAGTACTGACCGAATTTGTTCCCATAAGGAATATTGTGAAGTAGATTAGTCCATTTCAGACCCCCAAACATACACGTACAAACGCACTTACATAAATACACTTACATAATTGGTCACATTGGGAGGTGATCGTTAAGCGGGGGTCCACTGTATATCAAGAGAAAAAATTATATTGAAATCAAATATCATATACTCTGAGGGGCCTTTCAGACGCTCTTCAATTTTGGGTTCAGTTAGTCGATTGCATTTACTAAAAAAATTGCACTATATAGGCTATCTTTATAATAGAGCTGATTGTAACTTGTAAAACTACACTGAGCCATGAATGGCTTTATTAAGCTCTAGACAGAGTGAAACATGACTTGATAAAGCTCTACACAGAGTGAAACATGACTTGATAAAGCTCTACACAGAGTGAAACATGACTTGATAAAGCTCTAGACAGAGTGAAACATGACTTGATAAAGCTCTACACAGAGTGAAACATGACTTGATAAAGCTCTACACAGAGTGAAACATGACTTGATAAAGCTCTACACAGAGTGAAACATAACTTGATAAAGCTCTACACAGAGTGAAACATGACTTGATAAAGCTCTACACAGAGTGAAACATAACTTGATAAAGCTCTACACAGAGTGAAACATGACTTGATAAAGCTCTACACAGAGCCAAAAGGTTTGCTGTGCAGCAAGTGTATCATCTGGATGGCCCTAGGGGTATTGAACACAAGGAACACTCTGCTTTCACTTGTTAAATTGCAAGTTAAAAATAATCAAAGATGCATGTGACTTCCTGTTCTTTTGTCAGAGTTCCTGTTTATTTTTGATCTCTTTCTTAAAATTTTGGATACTAGGACACGCCAAATTTTTTGTGACGTTGAGGGCGCTAAGGAGAACCTGTCTTCTGAACTTTTGTAAAGCAAAAAATGCATTTAGGTATTAAATTACGGTACGGGTGGGGTTAGAACTCATGGTAAGTGAATTGTAAAACTCCAGGCCAGTGCACTAACCACTGGGCCAGCTGGTTACAGCTGCAGCCAGCCAGTACAGTGGTTAATGCACTGGCCTGGGGTGTTACAAATACAGTGGACCCCCGGTTAACGATATTTTTTCATTCCAGAAGTATGTTCAGGTGCCAGTACTGATCGAATTTGTTCCCATAAGGAATATTGTGAAGTAGATTAGTCCATTTCAGACCCCCAAACATACACGTACAAACGCACTTACTTAAATACACTTACATAATTGGTCGCATTGGGAGGTGATCGTTAAGCGGCAGTCCACTGTACCATGCTGTTATTACGATTTCGTGAGCCTTTAAATATTGTTTCATTGAGAGTGCCTTGATGTTACTGAAGGGCTCTTGATACAAGGAAACGAAGATACCCTTTTCTTACATTAACTCGTAAACGGTCCAAACAGATCGACGTTCAAATTCATAAACCATACCCCCGGCCGGGATTGAACCCGCGGTCATAGAGTCTCAAAACGCGACGGGCTGAAGTTTTGAGATTCAAATTCATAGTGTTGCAAAAGTAGATATACTTTTTTTTACATATTTTCAAATATAACAAAAAAAAATGTAGATAAAAGTTTTTTTACACATTTTCAAATGTAAAACAAAAAAGAAGATCGAAATTTTTTACATACTTTCAGGTTGTTAGGTAAGACACATAGGCAACAGTTAGACAACTTTATTCCGAAACGTTTCGCCTACACAGTAGGCTTCTTCAGTCGAATACAGAAAGTAGGCAGGAACAGTAGAGATGTGAAGACGATGTAATCAGTCCATCACCCTTGAAGTCGTAGAATTTGAGGTTGTCAGTCCCTCGGCCTGGAGAAGTTCAGTTCCGGAATAAAGTTGTCTAACTGTTGCACATGTCTTACCTAACAACCTGTCGGTATTGTATACCATTTTGATGTTCATACTTTCAGATGTTGAAAAAACGTATATATACGTTTGGACCATTTAAGGGTTAAACATGATTACCTTCTATTCCTAGGCTCTATATAATCTTTCCTTACATTAAACAAGATTACCTCCTAGTCCTAGGCTCTTTAAAGTCCCTACAGGTTTAGAGCTTCCCAATAAATATTTTTTTTTTTTTTTTTTTTTTTTTTTTTCAACAAGTCGGCCGTCTCCAAGATTCAAAAAAATAAAAAAAATAGATAATGTACTCAGACAAGCCTTCTGGATATTTAACCCCACATGACTCAACCTTATTTACTTCCCTGGTAAGACTCTCGAAACTTATCAAATGTATATATTCTAACCCTTTCTGGGTCAACCCCTACCTGTTCTTCTATAAATCTGTTCACCCTCTTAGTCAGTCTATGCTGATTCACGAAATCGTGATGATGTGATTGCAAACAGACCATGGAACGGATGGTATTTGAACCACTCAACCGGCCAGCTGGCTGAGTAGCTCAAACTCGTTGAATAAGCCACTTGTTGCATAAGCCACTTGTTGCAGAAGCCACTTGTTGCATAAACCACGTGTTGCATAAGCCACTTGTTGCAGAAGCCACTTGTTGCAGAAGCCACTTGTTGCACAAACCACTTGTTGCATAAGCCACTTGTTGCAAAAGCCACTTGTTGCATAAGCCACTTGTTGCATAAGCCACTTGTTGCATAAGCCACTCGTTGCATAAACCACCAGTGTATAAGCCATTCAGCCAAACAGCCAGCTGGCCAAGTGGCTTATACACTAGCCTGAAGTTTTAAAACTCGTCATGGGTTCAAATCTCATCCAATCTGTTTTTTGTTTTTTTTTTATCCTAATCTGCCTCATCCTCAGTAAATGCTCAGACCACCTCATCAACACCTCCTCAGTCTGATAAATAACACACATGTGCAGCAGTTGGATATCTTTATTCTGATGTTTCACCTACACAATAGGTTTCTTCAGTCAAGTACAGAAGAGTTTGCAGAAGCAGTACAGATGTAAACAGTGGAATCAGTCCATCACTCTTGAAGATAGATTACATCGTCTTAACATATCTACTGCTTCTACTTACTCTTATGTACTCGAATAACGAAGCTTACTGTCTAGGCGAAATGTTTCAGAATAAACATACCTAACTGTTGCATATGTGGTACGCTGGAACCTCGATTAATCCTTTTGAAAAAGTCTGATGAAAACCCGAATCGTATGAAAACTGAAGTAATATTTCCCACAAGAAGTAATGCAAATCCAATTAATCTATTCCAGACACCCAAAAATATTAACAAAAAATGCATTTTATAGAGAATAACTCTAGTTTTGCATACAAACTAGAGCATACGAAAATCAAGGTTTCACTGTATACAAAACCTATCACTACTGTACATGTACAGTGGACCGCCACTTAACGATCACCTCCCAATGCGACCAATTATGTAAGTGTATTTATGTAAGTGCGTTTGTACGTGTATGTTTGGGGGTCTGAAATGGACTAATCTACTTCACAATATTCCTTATGGGAACAAATTCGATCAGTACTGGCACCTGAACATACTTCTGGAATGAAAAAATATCATTAACCGGGGGTCCACTGTATTTGATATTCACCTTCTCAGTCCTTTGAGTTACACATTTAATAATCCCAGATCATCATCTGCAGGACCCTATTTCTCTGCATAATATTCACACCACACATTGCCCTCAGACATGACATCTCTGCTGCCTCCAGCCTCCTCCTTACTGCAATGTTTACAACCCATGCTTCATATTCATATACAGTGGAACCTCAAAAATTGAACTTTCTTCGGTCCAGAAGGCTGTTTGTGTGCTGCTACTGAACGAATTTATTCCCATCAGGAATAATGTAAATTAATTCCCATCAGGAATAATGTAAATTAATTCCCATCAGGAATAATGTAAATTAGATTAGTTTATTTCAGACCCTAAAAAATACACTTAAAAAAGCACTTACAAAAATATACTTACATAACTGCTTGAGTTGGGAGCAGCTCAATTTTTGAGGTTCCACTGTAACAGTGTTGGTACCACTATACTCTGGTACAGTTCCCTTCTTCGCTTTCATTGCACATAATACATTACATAGTGTTTTAATGCATTTTTTACAAAGGTTCAGATGATAAGTTCACCTTTGCTACTTGTAATTTTTGTTATACATCAACGACTACTGTATAATACTGAAAAAAAATTATTTTTCTCCTTATTGTCTATAAAAAGAGTAATAATTTAACATTGTGCCAACTTTTGTTTTTGCAAAGTTACTTCTCTCTTTACTAAACCATAATGTCAAAAATGTTAAAAAAATATTGACAATCAAATTGGGCAGATCATTTAAAAAATTTTGCTGTATATTGGAATACGATGATTTGTTGCTTTTAACAGTTACGCTTAAGTGATACAATGTGACTCTGTTATTAATACGCTTTCAAATACAGACAACTTAATTTTATAGATATATAAATATATATATAATGTTATAATTAGTATCTGTATACTTATTTATTAATAATCTGAACCTAGTATGCTAAAATTAGATTTAATGTAAACCACAATGACAACATGTTACTAGTCTAATATTTGATGGTAAACTGCAGTAATTCCTTGACTTACAAGTACATTGGGGACCTGAATTGTGTATAATACTCATAATACAGAAGTCTTCAACTTACAAACATGTTGCGGACCTTGTGTATTGTGTACAGTCTCTCCTCACTTAACGACGGAGTTCTGTTTCTAAGACCGCATCGGTAAATAAATTTGTCGCTAAATGAGGATCATACTATAATGGTCGTGAGTTTGTGTCAACCATCTTTGATGTTGTTTTAATGTCATCTTTGCAACATTTATAACATTTCTGGTATATTTTTAAATGTTTATACAGTAGTGTACTGTATATTGTAATAAACAGAATAGAGGAAATCAGCTCTAATATACATTATTTAGGTATGCATACTGATCAGAGAGGCCGTTGTAAGTCCGAGTCATCGGTAAACGAGTACATCGCTAAGTGAGGAGAGGCTGTATATGATATTATACCCAATAATGATATAATAATGATATTGTACACAGTACGGAAGATTCTTAACATGTTTGTAAGTCATAGACATTACTGTACTGAAAATGTTATGATGGCAGTTATGCCCAGTGGATTTAATTGCTCACCTAGTTATAACTTGTAATACAGTGGACCCCCGGTTAACGAACTTTTTTCATTCCAGTAGTATGTTCAGGTGCCAGTACTGACCGAATTTTTTCCCATAAGGAATATTGTGAAGTAGATTAGTCCATTTCAGACCCCCAAACATACACATACAAACGCACTTACATAAATACACTTACATAATTGGTCGCATTTGGAGGTGATCGTTAAGCGGGGGTCCACTGTAGTTACGATTCTTTAGTTGAAGCACCTACAGCACGCCCAAGTTATATATCATGGTGTTGATATTAGTGAAGGTAGTTATGCAAGGAGCTAGTAACCCCTTCCACTGTATAAATTCCTAAATGTAAAAGTTAAAACTTTCGTTTTTCCTTTTGGGCCGCCCCACCTTGGGATACAGCTGGTGTGTTGAAAGTTAGAAGAGGTTATGCAAGAGGCTAGTAACCCCTTCCACTGTATAAATTATTAAATTTTAGGTCATTCTGCCTCAGTGGGATATGGCCGGTTTGTTGCAAAAATAGCTATGCAGGAGGCCAGTAACACCTGCGTAAATTACTAAATGCAAAAAATAATTATCATTTTTCTGTTTAGGTCGCCCTGTTGATAATACAGTGGTACCTTGAGTTACGAGCTTAATTCGTTCCAGAAGGCTGTTCGAGTGCCGATACCAAACAAATTTGCTCCCATAAGGAATAATGAAAATTAGATTAATTCATTCAGACCCCCAAAAATACACTTAACAAAAGCACTCACAAAGATAGACTTACATAATTGAATCGGAAGCTGATCATAACTTAAGGTACCACTGTACTTTGTCTTGTGTTATAGGTGCTTTATATACTAGAGATCGTTAGTGCCGATATTTGAGTAAATTGGAAACTATCAGGCAAGAATACTTTAACCTCAAAAATAAATACTTATACTCTTTGTGTATGTATACTGAGACAAACATCTGTGTATGTATACTGAGACAAACATCTGTGTATGTATACTGAGACAAACATCTGTGTATGTATACTGAGACAAACATCTGTGTATGTATACTGAGACAAACATCTGTGTATGTATTACTGAGACAAAACATCTGTGTATGTATACTGAGACAAACATCTGTGTATGTATACTGAGACAAACATCTGTGTATGTATACTGAGACAAACATCTGTGTATGTATACTGAGACAAACATCTGTGTATGTATACTGAGACAAACATCTGTGTATGTATACTGAGACAAACATCTGTGTATGTATACTGAGACAAACACCTCTCAGTGTATACACACTGAGAAACAAGTCTCTCAGTGTGTTTACTGCCCCTCCACTGAACATACTACAGTGACAAAACGCAAGTCATTATTAACAACATTGAAATTCACTTACCTCTGGTTTTTACGTATTAAAACCTCAAATGTAATCTAAACAGTATAATTATATTATTTACTTTTTCAGCTATCAGATTTTCATTATATCACTAATAAAATAATGTCAGACAAATTTCAAGATAGCTTTCTTGAAGACAGCTTTCTTGAAGACAGCATTCTTGAAGACAGCTTTCTTGAAGACAGCATTCTTGAAGATAGTATTCTTGAAGACAGCATTCTTGAAGATAGTATTCTTGAAGACAGCATTCTTGAAGATAGTATTCTTGAAGACAGCATTCTTGAAGATAGTATTCTTGAAGACAGCTTTCTTGAAGATAGTATTCTTGAAGACAGCATTCTTGAAGATAGTATTCTTGAAGACAGCATTCTTGAAGACAGCTTTCTTGAAGACAGCATTCTTGAAGATAGTATTCTTGAAGACAGCATTCTTGAAGACAGCTTTCTTGAAGATAGCTTTCTTGAAGGTAGCTTTCTTGAAGACAGCATTCTTGAAGACAGCTTTCTTGAAGACAGCTTTCTTGAAGATAGTATTCTTGAAGACAGCATTCTTGAAGACAGCATTCTTGAAGACAGCTTTCTTGAAGATAGTATTCTTGAAGACAGCATTCTTGAAGATAGCATTCTTGAAGATAGCATTCTTGAAGACAGCTTTCTTGAAGATAGTATTCTTGAAGACAGCTTTCTTGAAGATAGCATTCTTGAAGACAGCATTCTTGAAGACAGCATTCTTGAAGATAGCATTCTTGAAGACAGCATTCTTGAAGACAGCATTCTTGAAGACAGCATTCTTGAAGACAGCATTCTTGAAGACAGCATTCTTGAAGACAGCTTTCTTGAAGATAGCTTTCTTGAAGACAGCATTCTTGAAGACAGCATTCTTGAAGACAGCTTTCTTGAAGATAGCTTTCTTGAAGATAGCATTCTTGAAGACAGCATTCTTGAAGATAGCTTTCTTGAAGACAGCATTCTTGAAGACAGCTTTCTTGAAGACAGCATTCTTGAAGACAGCATTCTTGAAGACAGCTTTCTTGAAGACAGCATTCTTGAAGACAGCATTCTTGAAGACAGCATTCTTGAAGATAGCTTTCTTGAAGACAGCATTCTTGAAGACAGCATTCTTGAAGACAGCTTTCTTGAAGACAGCATTCTTGAAGACAGCATTCTTGAAGACAGCATTCTTGAAGATAGCTTTCTTGAAGACAGCATTCTTGAAGACAGCATTCTTGAAGATAGCATTCTTGAAGACAGCATTCTTGAAGACAGCATTCTTGAAGATAGCTTTCTTGAAGACAGCATTCTTGAAGACAGCATTCTTGAGATAGCATTCTTGAAGATAGCATTCTTGAAGACAGCATTCTTGAAGACAGCATTCTTGAAGACAGCATTCTTGAAGACAGCATTCTTGAAGATAGCATTCTTGAAGACAGCATTCTTGAAGACAGCATTCTTGAAGACAGCATTCTTGAAGACAGCATTCTTGAAGACAGCATTCTTGAAGACAGCTTTCTTGAAGACAGCATTCTTGAAGATAGCATTCTTGAAGACAGCATTCTTGAAGACAGCATCTTGAAGATAGCATTTCTTGAAGACAGCATTCTTGAAGACAGCATTCTTGAAGATAGCTTTCTTGAAGACAGCATTCTTGAAGATAGCCTTCTTGAAGACAGCATTCTTGAAGACAGCATTCTTGAAGATAGCCTTCTTGAAGACAGCATTCTTGAAGACAGCATTCTTGAAGATAGCATTCTTGAAGACAGCATTCTTGAAGACAGCATTCTTGAAGACAGCATTCTTGAAGACAGCATTCTTGAAGACCATTCTTGAAGACAGCATTCTTGAAGACAGCATTCTTGAAGACAGCATTCTTGAAGACAGCATTCTTGAAGATAGCATTCTTGAAGATAGCATTCTTGAAGACAGCATTCTTGAAGACAGCATTCTTGAAGACAGCATTCTTGAAGACAGCATTCTTGAAGATAGCATTCTTGAAGACAGCATTCTTGAAGACAGCATTCTTGAAGACAGCATTCTTGAAGACAGCATTCTTGAAGACAGCATTGTTGAAGACAGCATTGTTGAAGACAGCATTCTTGAAGATAGCATTCTTGAAGACAGCATTCTTGAAGACAGCATTCTTGAAGACAGCATTCTTGAAGACAGCATTCTTGAAGACAGCATTCTTGAAGACAGCATTCTTGAAGACAGCATTCTTGAAGATAGCATTCTTGAAGATAGCATTCTTGAAGACAGCATTCTTGAAGACAGCATTCTTGAAGATAGCATTCTTGAAGACAGCATTCTTGAAGATAGCATTCTTGAAGATAGCATTCTTGAAGACAGCATTCTTGAAGACAGCATTCTTGAAGACAGCATTCTTGAAGATAGCATTCTTGAAGATAGCATTCTTGAAGACAGCATTCTTGAAGACAGCATTCTTGAGACAGCATTCTTGAAGACAGCATTCTTGAAGATAGCATTCTTGAAGATAGCATTCTTGAAGACAGCATTCTTGAAGATAGCATTCTTGAAGACAGCATTCTTGAAGATAGCATTCTTGAAGATAGCATTCTGGAAGACAGCATTCTTGAAGATAGCATTCTTGAAGATAGCATTCTTGAAGACAGCATTCTTGAAGACAGCTTTCTTGAAGACAGCATTCTTGAAGACAGCATTCTTGAAGACAGCATTCTTGAAGACAGCATTCTTGAAGATAGTATTTTTGAAGACAGCATTCTTGAAGATAGCATTCTTGAAGACAGCATTCTTGAAGACAGCTTTCTTGAAGACAGCATTCTTGAAGACAGCATTCTTGAAGACAGCATTCTTGAAGATAGTATTCTTGAAGACAGCATTCTTGAAGATAGCATTCTTGAAGACAGCATTCTTGAAGATAGCATTCTTGAAGACAGCATTCTTGAAGACAGCATTCTTGAAGACAGCA